TCTAGCAGATCATTTTCATAGCTTGAAATCGCCTCTAGGCGTGCGCTGATCGCTTCACATCCTTGCGAAGCGACGTGTCCCACGCCCTCAGGGTCAAGCCAGGATATCAGCTTTTAAGCCCATCCTGCATGCCCTGGGGCAAATAGGAGAACTGTCCTATCCTCACAGAGTGTCAGTCGTAACGGCTCAGATGTACATTGACTACAAGTGCTAACAAGTACAGCGAGGCTGCCGTAGCTCTTTTGCTTAGAGGAAGCTTGGTTAAGGTCGGTGTACTTAGAACCAGTACTAGTGTAGTGGATCACAGTCTGCTTAATCCAAGAGTAACCACAACCTTAACACAAGAAAAATTGAATCTTTCGTTTAGAATGTAAACTGTATTTCTCGATTTTACATGCGGCAAAACGGCCTAAATCTAAATCTATAAGTTTTCCTATCTATATCTATTTAGTAAATCTTTATCAAATGTATCACTACTGGCTGTTCCAGCGACGTACTGACTTTTTGTTAATGTATAGCCACACCATTGTGCGGTCACACCATCTTGTGTAAACTACATCATTATGTGCATCTCATCATCTTGTGTGACCCACACCCTCCATACCAGGGCATGTGAATCCTCGTTACACTCTCCCACATCAAGATTGTGAAGACCTACAGCTCACATTCAACTGTCGCCTTAATCGAGGCTCGCGTACTCGAAGTTGGGGAAAGTGCTGATGGGAAGTAAAGTCAGCCTTTAGAAAAACACGCTATCTCTATCGTCTTAACGCTCTAAGAGATATCTTCATTGAGGTGGACGTCTGCCCTGGGTGTCAAATTATGCTGTTCTCCAAAGCACAACCACGTCGCGGAAGTTGAGGTGGCGACCAATCTCTACAATAATGTTCGGTTAATAGCCTCGCCCTTTCCATGATATAGCTGTTTTGGTACCGGTCTTTAGTAACCGAGAGGTTGGTCCTCTTCCAGTAGTGTGAGGCACGCTGCGAAGGGCACCCTGCCTATTCTTTAGAGAAAATTAACCGAGGGTCTGCCAGATTATAAGCGGTCACAGCACATGGGCAATCTTGTCGAAGTGGGCCCTGTATCCCGCTAAAATTTCATATGAAAATATTCCTTCCACTCCTTTTTGTACTGTTAGCACCCCTGGCCCCGACACACCAAACTTTCCACGCAAAATTGAATCACCCTTCGCTCATCACACTACCGACGAAGGTCTACCTTCCGCAGATGGATCTTGCGGTCTCTCTTGTTTGTGAAAGCACGTTCACTTTCTCCGCGTTCGAGGTTGGAGAGAGTAAGATCTCGGATTTGCTCTTTGTGCATCACCACCGCTCTGTATGGCTCGAGGCAATGCCAGAGATATAGAACGCTACAGTATGAAAAGGATAGTTCTATGTTTATCATAGAGCTCCTTACGCCCGATTACATCATAAGAGTTTAATTGTGGCAGTATATTCACATTGAGCGCTGGTTGTGTCCGTATTTTCTTTGATTTTCCAGAGTATAAATCAACCTCTTCGTTGCTACAAACCTGAACGGTCCCCTTAAAACGGTCGCAACTCAGGCATAAAGACAGCTGACACTGCATCTGATGTTAGGTCTCCTGCTTTTAATACCCCATAGCATACTAGTGTGTGCTCTATCTGCTAGTATCATCAGTGTGATACCTTTGATCATGTGGCTCTCACACGTGGCACAGGTGCATCCTGCACAAGACACTCGATCTCACTATGACAGGATCACTAATTATTCTAAGTGTATAGATAATTGATTCCAGTAAATCAAATTTAATTGACAACGTCGATATACAAAACCAAAGTTACTTCGTGATGGTGTAACCGGCAACCAAAGGTTACTAAACCAATTAGGTAAAATGTAGTAAATCCTGTAAGGGTATACACTGCACTTTCGCCGCAAACCCAATGAATAGGAGCAACTTGCTTTAGTACCGCGAGTCCCCGCGCAAGTGTATCGAAGGAAATCACCAAAACGCAACTAACGCATGTTTGTTTGACTTTTTTTTGGATGATCGAAATGCTTCTACACTTTTAAATGACAATTTGATTGCAATGTTAGTGGATTTTACTAAAGAAATTCGAATGGCTGCATGTCTCGTACAAACTCCAATTTGTGCTTGAAGTACTCGAATTTGCAGCACTTGTACATTTAATCGCAACTTGACGTCCTTCATACTCTCCACGGCGTCGCAACCATCTTACTTAGTGCCGGTGTTAATAGCATCGGGTGTTCATTCAGTTATTAATGGTTACCACGACAGCAATGTCGGTAGTCACATTGGTCACAGTAGATATGGAAAACCTCGTCTGCGATTGTTCAAGGCCTCGTATGTACAATTAAGATTACAAAAGAGTGCGGACATTCAAGACGACAGCGCGATGATCCTATACCTACGCCGCATGCAACGCTGCATCTGGTACCGGTACACTAACAAGCATGGCGCTGTGCGTGTATGTTCTTCATTTTTGGAGACACGGTTTGCAGCAAAACTGCACGGGTGTCTTGCCTTCGTGCACAACTTCAGTAAAGGCGATCTTTGTTGCAGATGAGACTTTGATCAGCCGAGGTCTACACTCATCATTAGACAAAGTGTTTCCGCCGGCGAAGGATCCAATGAAGCGCCCCAATCTCGCTTCGCTTGCACATGATTAGTGATCCCGGGACGAAGCTGTTGGTAATATAGACGAAACACACTGACAGGAAAAACTGCAATGAATTTGCGGCGTGGATTTTGCTACGACGGTCCACCTCCGTTAATTCACTTGAATAGCATTTGAAGTTAGATTCCCGAACATATCATCGATCAAGATGTGATGGCACATTCAGCGTCCGGGTACGTGTCTGATACTCCGAAAAATCAAGTAGCACTATCGAATCCGATAGCCGGACTCTCGCTAGCAGCACGCCCTTTGGAGCCACATAGCTGCGTTAACCTCGATTTATTTTTGTATTACGGAGCAGAACTGGCTATTAAACCGGATCGTTCTTTATATCGCTTCCAGCACACACAAGGATGTTCCTGCAAACGCAATTGTGATCTTTCTCCCTGTATTGAACACGAGACCGATCCGAAAAATATCGCGGATTATTCCGCCGTCTCGACCGTACTTCCGTGAAAAAACGTCGCCGTTATCGCGTCTGTATGATCATAGCAATAGTTGCACTGCTGTGACTCTGGTCCAGAAGTTAAGCTTCAGAAAATTGCTTTTGTACCCTTCATGAACATTCGTTTGTCGAGAAAGCATTTCATGAAAAAGTTACGCCGACATAGCCGTATCTGCCCACTATGCGGCAAAACCGGCTGTGTCTCATTCTCACTGGGCCTGAACGGGATGCTATCTGTACCGGCAATTAGCAAATTCTTTTAACACGTGAAAAAGGCATATACATCAATGACCCTGCGTCAGCTCACATGTTTGCTTTTGCAGCCACGCAGTGTAGAGCCCGCTGTGTGTTGTCATCTGCGCGTTGAGTCACGACGTCATGTGACCCCTCCCTCTCGAGGTCTAAAAGCAATTCAATATCAAATGAAGACGCACCACGATTGATATAACTGTCAGAGCCACACGAGTAGTTTGTCTTCGTGCTACGTACCGCCCAGTTTTCAACAAACGAACCTTCATGCTTTAAGGATCATTGAACTCTTGTTCCCTGCACAAATTGAATCGGATGATGTGCACCCTCGTCACCATTTTTTATTTCTTCAGCATATGAGCTCCGTATCTGGCATCAGATTTAATCGCGCGTGCCGCAGCCTATTTATTAATACAGAGAATAATCAACGGGTGTGTTGTTCGATCCATCGTTAGTATTTATAGCAATTTTCAGTCCGAACTCATGTGACCGAAATTCTTCTTAAGTGAGAGGCAAAGCAATCAAGTAATGCCCAAAGTGGCTAATAAAATTACTTACTTTTCTAAATACTTAACAGTACTATAAGTGAAGAGGGATATCTTAAAGGTAGAACTGGCTTCCACTTTGATCACTGGAAGCTACTGAAAGCCAATGGGAATCTAGGAGCCTACTGTCCCTGAATACTTATTCTGGCCCAGAAACAGAGTACGAGTCATGGCATGATTCCGAGAGTAAGATGAGCAAGATGTCATATTCGCTCTTTGAGCTTCGCCATCGCATGCTTAAGTTAAGGTGCCCCTAGCGATTCAGATCCGCGTTGCTGCTTTGGAATAGAGAAAAGATCAGTAGTGGAGACGTTGCTTTACCTGCAATATTTTTCTTCACGTTCGATCGGCTCGTAAAAGTGCAGTCGTGGTATGGCTTAAGCAGCATCGGATGTGTTCGCATTCGCGTTGAGATACTCAAAGTATAAAACGATTTATTTTCACTACGATTGTAAGCGGTCCGATGTTGCGTGTTTGCAGCTTTGTCGTACACAACGCGGACACTGATTATGTATGTAGTTTAAGTGTTTTCAATATACCTTTTTGTCTCGCAACATATATATGTATTTCATCTGCTCTGACATCGGCGTATTGTCTTCGGGTTGATACCAGCGATGCGTTATTAATTGACAGTTACTTCCAGGTTAAAATCGGAACCACTTTATGGTGATGTTAGGGGCTTCCGAAGGTACATCATTATTTGTTTATTGAGTAAAGTAAAGCTTGTAATGGCATGCACTATTAACTGACCACAATCTTAATGTATGAGAGCAACTGTCTCCAGCACCGCGGTTACTTCGCACAAGCACCTAAGAAATGTCCTCGCGACGCCATTACTATGATTCGGCTATCCATCTGCAGGTAGATGGTCAGAGATTGACATATCTAACCTGGTGCGCAGAACCCCCGAACCAGATTCGCCAGAGCTGGCCTGTAAAGCACATATCTCCTTCCGACTTAAAGGCTACAGGCAAGCCATGTTGATGAAGCAATATGTCAAGAAACAGCTTAATTGTATCCTTAACAGTCACATATCGCGGACAGCAGCGAGGTATGCGTCTTGCACAGACGGTCTGCAAAGACCAGATTACCAGTATTGCCGGACGCGTCTTCTGAAAGACCAAAAGTAAAGTCCAAACTTATGAACTGCCACCTCTCTGACGGAACTGGCAAGCTATCCAAAGTGCTAACATAGGCGAAAGGTGCAACGGGGCTGTCAAATCTTTTTGCTTAGAGGAAGCCAAGCTAAGTTGACCGACCGTACGTTCTTTATACGAACCAGTACGAGTGTAGCGGATTGCAATCCGCTATTTCCAAATTACCCAAAAACCTTAACCAAGGTAAAGATGCACTTCCGTTTCAAATTAAATTATATAGCCACCAATTTCTAACATCTTAATTTTTCCTATTTAATATAGTAATATCTAACTTATATAGTTAAACCTAATTTATATGCATTACTACTGGCAATACTGCCACGTAGTGGCATCTTGTTACGGTGTAGCCACACCATTGTGTGATTACATCAACTTGTGTAATACACCTTTGTACGACCACACCATCCTGTTTGACCCCGCCCTTTCATACAAAGGTACGTGTAACCCCGTTACAAAAGGTATTTAACCCGATGACATCTTTCACACAAACGTTCGTACGGGTTTATCCTCTAGTACATGTTGGGCCACCGATACATTACGCTCACCGGGCAGTACGCCTTACCTCTGCCGAGAAGGCATTTTCCAAGAAAGCCAAAAGGCCTCACAAACGGGCGTCTTAGGCCTCGCACATTTTTCAACAACTGAATTTCTCATCACAATGAGCCGCTATACGCTGACAGTCATGTAGGTTAGTGCAGGAATACATGAAGCCTAAAAGGCATGACAGTGAAGGTTTGCAACTGCGCTTCCTAAAAGACATCCAGGATTTCAACCTGCTTTCATTCCTAGCCTTTTAACAGAACATGTGACGTCTGGCCAAGACGCTGTACGTATCGCCTCACCCAACCAGTCGCAGTCTGAAGGATGCGAAAGCGCGCCCATAAGCACATTCAGTCGACCCGGCCTATACCATACTTCAAAGGTGTAAACTTCAAATCAGGCGAGCATTTTTGCCATTTTCTGAATATGCAGTGAGAACGTCGCTGTGCACAACGACTCATCATCTGAATATATCACAACGGCTAAGAGTCACGCAGGTGCACCCTGAATTTGATAGCGGCATACTTCACTGCAAGTAGCTCCTTGCTATGAACAACGTACTTCTTAGCAGTTTTCAGCTGGTAAACCTCTACCTTGACCTTCGTTCATTTCCATTGCGTAGCCTTTTGCAACGGCATTTTCCGAAGCACCCCAACACCATTTAGCATTTGTATAAATAGATTGATTTTAGGTAATTAATTGGTGTATGGTCGGCAAAACTAGCACTATCTTTGCGCAAGAAAGTAACAATTCAGGCCACATACTCGATTCAGGTACTGGTAATCTACAAATACCTTTACTACAGAATTTGTCCACATGACCCGCTTACTAATGAGAAATTCTAGAACGATGGGTCGTCGGTGCAAGTGACATACTTGTCGAGATTGGCAAAAGCATTTCTGACGCAGTTACTCGCAATGTTTTCTTAAAGTTTCCCGCATCCGGATTTCTCTTCTCTGCACTACAATTGACACTTTTTGTAGAAATAGTGGATTCATCAAGTCGCGATGAGGCCTGAACAGCTACCTAATTCGAGTAGGTGGCTTGTATGGTTACTTTCTTGCACAAACACAGTGCTAGTTTTCCAAGGTAAACAAACACTTCTGTTCAAAATCAAAAATGTATCTAATTGTTTTAGTTGCGGCAGAGCCGCCGGTTTTCCTAATTAATATTGTAATACCTAATTAATATATCAAAACCTATTTAATATAGTTATATGCATTACTACTGGCAATCCTGCCACGTGGTGGCTTCTTGTTACGGTGTAGCCACACCACTGTGCGATTACACAAACTTGTGTAATACACACCTATGTACGGTCGCACAATCTTGTGCGACCCACCGTTTCATACAAGGGTACGTGTAACTCCGTTACAAATATAGACTATTTTATCCTGAGATATAGTTATCATATATGTATGAGTCAACATCTAGGTATATGTCACGCACGGCGGAGTCGTGGAAATGCTGTTTTCTCTGTGAACGGAGCATAAATGGTCAAATACCTGTCGTCGGGGCCGATAGAGCAACTTAACGAGCTATGGCTATCTTGGGCTTGACGGGATCGTGGTGGGTCGGAGGTAGTAATTGCTCGCCTTGACGCGAGAACTAGCTTTAATAATGCGCTAATAGGGTTTAATGGGCCCCTCCATTACATAAGTAGGTAGATTGTTTTACATTAGTAGGTGAATCAGCACACGATTAGCGTGCGCTGTATTGCTATCATCATATTGGCTGATATATGGGGAGCCAGACCCATTATTAGCCAATTAGTCAATGGCGTGTATTTGAGCGGCTAGGGCTTCCGTCCTGGTCCTGAAATAGGGTCAGAGTTAGATTTTCCATAAACCTAAGACTCGGTCGCTCTATCGCGAGCTTCTTCAACACTAAAGTGTACGCGAGTAACGTAGAAAATACCTGGTCCGTTACATAAGGCATATTTAGAAGCGCCTCGACCAGCAATGGTGGGTTGTCGATGTTTCGCACCGTAAGATTGCTGATGTTGAGCGTCCAGGCCTTCGAGGGTCGGGACGGAAAAATCTCTCCCTTTGGGTGAATCAAGTTGAGATAGCCATGGATTCGACCTGCTTCAAATGGAGCCACAACGCTCAATAATGAACAATAACTGTTCCCAAACGTGCGATCTCTTCAAACGACAGATGTCTATTTAATTTCCTAATCAGGTGTATCGAGTGCGTTTGAAGTTCTTGTCTCACGTCAAGGGGGGCAAAATTAGTGATATAAGTCCAGAAGCTGTAAACTCTTGCCGTCGTAATGGCATCTGACCCTTTCTTAGAGGCGGTCCCGGCTTCCAACTCTATGAAGGGTCATCAAGCGGGTGCAACTTGCACCAAGGTACTACCTCTTCCAAGCATGCGGTTGGCATCGCGTTAATGCGAATAACTTTTCGTATCGCAGGGACCTGTTGAGATACTGGGAATAGAAGCTGTACGATCGTGCCAGTGGCGATGGACCTCAATCATGGTGAAATAGCTGAAGCGAGGTTTCTTATCTGCTGGGCAGCTCTACGCTATCCACAGATACTTCGTACAAAGCATTTTGCCTACTGGGTTCCCTTCGCTCTCGGTTGATCGGTACGATTGGCAACTAGGGGGATGTGAAAAAGCGACGACATATCTTTATCTCTTCTTTTTCCATGCCGGGACCGTAGAGAACGACTTTGAGCAGTTTCCCCTGTGTTAGAGTCGATGGAGTGTGAAAGCGACTAGGTGTTGCAATATCCCATCCGAGAGCGGGTGAATTGAAGGACAACTGTAATTCGCGGTTCGAAGGTATAGGCCCGCCTTGAGGACAAAAAGATGTCTCATCGTCATGCTAAAACAGTACTTATGCGTCAGCACTACCGTGTGATGGGCTAATCGTGCAAAGTAGTGAAGCTCCACGTGATAATGGCAAGAAAGTTCGCTTATTACATACTCATGAATGGAGCGATCAAGGTAATCCTAGAGTTGTCGTCCTCCCTCAATACCTCCGGTATTAGCTCTCATGAGCTGGATGAGCTGGATGAGCTTTTCCTTGGGGATACGTGCAAGGAGATGCAAGATGCAAGACGGAGAGGCAATCGGGTAGGTACGAATGGATCAGAATGGAATTAAAGCTCAATATATGTGTTGGATGACTCTGTCATTGAGGGGATTTACAGAGCTTCAAGCGCAAGGAGGAGGCAGCCAATCTACCGCGTGGTCTACCGGGGATATGATCTGAGTTTGCATCCAAAACAAGTTACACTGTTCCTCAAAGAGCGTCATTACCGTGCGACGCAGTATCTGATCTCGGTAACCCTTGTTCCGTCAGAAGGCTAACGGCAAGTGGCGGCTTCTGAGTGTAAATAAGCCAAGTGCAGTAGCGAGTTCGACAAAAATGCCAAATACAGAGAAGTTTTACAGCAGAATAGCATGGGCGGCTGCACTTAGTTCTGTGTTCCTAACGTGGATGGTGATTATTATCAACTGCTGATACAATACGGTGATATCAGAATGTGGTCAGTAATCCGAGCGGGTTGCTCTAGGAGTGCCTGAATGCACCAGCCACGATCCATCCTCCGCTGCAGCTATATTATGACTGTGCACAAACTTATCTAACGATATATCCGGCAAAGTTGTGCACAGCACGAGGGTTCACATGTGAAGGACCACATAAAAAACGTGTGAGCAGTCCTTGACTGGATGCACCTGTAACATATATTCGCAATTGTAGACAAGTGTGGGCTTAGCACCGACACATTTATTTTAGGTTGCTCATTTCTAAAGGAAAGTCTTGCGTGATCTGCCCGCAAAGATAAGAACCTTTAAACATTGATCAGAGTCTCTGTTTTATATGCATTTGAGATTGGACAGCTCTTGCACAAGAACAGCGCAAACTCCGCCGACATGGCACGATCCCTCACCAATTTCTTAAAAAAATTGTCAAACAGTCTTGGAGTGCGGCGGGAGAAGCGACATTTAAGGCTGTGGAATGAATCCTCGTAGGCTCCCATATTTTGGCTCGTCAAATTCAGATTGGTCATTTCACGACGTTTGAGCCGTTACAATATTAAGCGCTTTATATTAAGCAGATGCCAATGAACAAGAACGTGGATCGCGTTCTAGTCTCGCCACATTAAAGTTGCCGAAAAGAAACTCTAATACTAACAATGAGGTTTGCTCTGTCAAGCTCAGGATGCACCTGCTTGAATTTTGGCCGTATGCGATCGTCAATCGATGAGTTGAAATGTACAGTGTATGGATAAGGGCGCCACATGTGTTGCGCTGCTGAAAGCGTTGAGTTTAAGAACTAACATTTCGCTTCTTAAACGCGCCATTTCACGCATACATCGATTTGCGTTACCGCCGTGCTTGCTGTATTGAGGATGTGATTCACATGACACTCAGCTGTACAAGGCTTATGATCCTCCTTTGAATGAAACAGACATACTGCTCATTAAGTACTATTTATTGGTGGCCTGACATGTATACTGGTTAAAGATCATATGTGCGCTTGTAGAAAGGTATTAGCGAGTATAATTTTCACCGATTGCGACAGCACGTTGGGATAGCCAGCCGATTCTGGTAGAGAACTGGATGAATGTCAGTATGAAGTTGCATAGGGTAGTATCGGTATTGTCGCTTTTGTGGACATTATACACGCCATACCACTAAGTTACGGCAAACATTGTTTAATGTGGTTGGCTCGGATTAGATATATCAATCGCTGATCTTCCGAACGCAGATAGTCAAACGAAACGCGTAAATCGCGTTCTGGATGAGATTTTTTGTAGCACTTGCGCGGATAGACCACGGCGCTGGAGCAAAACGCTTACACATTTTGCGTTTGCTTTGGGAATTTGCAGTACACATATCTACAGTCTTGACCCCATTTTACATATATGATTTGAGACCCTTTGGGGGGCTTTGACACCACCGCAAGGAGACACTGGTCTGAGTGGGGATGGGCTTTCAATCAAAATCGACTTGATAATATCAGACCTGCTACGCGCCATTATATAATTGTTGCCTTTATCCCGAAGAGTTGAGCGTCATGCGCAGGGTGCTCGACGTTATGGCTGAAAGCAGGACATACAAAAGCAACACTCTGATATCAGAGGCAGGCGAAAGACACAAGAACATGCTGTAGGTCAGAACATTTCATTGTATGCAATCATTCTATCCACCCATCAATCATCTGAGGTCAATATGATGAAGTTGCGACCCCGCTACATCGACCCGTTCACGGATAGGGATTAAATTATACTGTGAATATTCCACATAGAACAATAACACATATAGTGGTTTATTTGAACCCACCGAAGTCATGCCACGAACTCGCTCTTACGAGCCGATTGAAAGTGAAGAGATGTGTTGCAGGCAAAACAACGTCCCAGTTTTACCCTTACCCTCTGCTCAAAAGCAGCTGCGCGATTCTACACCGCTGGGAGTCCGCAAATCAGGTAGCACGATGACGTAGCTCAAATAGCAAAATCGAGATCCAGCTTAGCTCAGCTTCAGACGCCTACCTTGAAACATAAGAGAGTTCAAACCGATAGAGCTCACGAGAGCCATCCGCGGAAGGGTCGACCTCCGCTGGCACGGCTTGATGTGGCCTGCTTCTGCGTGAAATGTCCGGCTATCCATGGATACGCTAGAGCTGCTACCAGCATCTGGTGAAAATAAGATACATACAATCGCATAGCCCATGGCAGTTTACATTCAGCTTTGGCAAGTTTTGCTTAGGGCCATGACTGCCATGACTGCTTTCGTCCAGATGCCCCCTCCCCTACTATCTCCCCTCGGAGAAGAGGCAGGATCGCCCGTTGCAGCGCAGCCATCACTAATGGAGAGCAACCGACCTTGCGATGAGCTCGTTACTTGGTCATAGCTGCTAAGGCCGTCTTATGGCGACAAAGGGGGCTGTAAGCATAGGGAGCTTGAAGAGATTTCTTTTAACCTCGAAGTCCGCATCGTACTTTGAATGTTGCACATTTCAGCATGACACGATGCTCTAGGCAGGCGCTCGCTTTACTTAAGCTGAATGGTGCAGCGTCTAAATGGGCGAGACGGCATGTAATTCTCTCTCAGTACGCAAACCGAGTCCTTACTCAGTTAGTCATCCTTAGCGTTCAGCACTGCCGATCCAAGCACATACCATACTCCTGGGGATGGCTATCTATGGGCTTCAAAAGTGTTCGAAGAGCGACGCATTCGCGCTTGTTTAACTCTGGGTGGTAGAAGAAGGCCTATACGCATAGAAGTGTTGAGTTCTGCACTATTGCGATCAGCGACTTTTGACAATTTGGAATTTTTATCAGGGCGTGGTTTGAGTAATACTTGACGTAATTCTCGCGTTTGCAGAGAAGTCAACTAATTTTCGTTAGAAAGATCCAGATCGTCTGTGGCGAGCTAGACATCGTCTTGAGCTTCATATCGGGGTGTTGAAATGATTAGCACCGATGGTCAAAGTCCCGAAGTCTGAGACCTTTGCAGCGAAAAGAATGAGGGCAGTTATGGCCTTTAATTGTGAGAACAGCCAGACCGTGTATTGCCGAGTGAAGGCGAAGGCTGTTGGCCGGGACTCAAAGAGTCACTGGGACCGATAAAAATGGAGAGCACATCGGCATCCTCACCCAGAAAACCTCTTTGCGCGCGTTGATTGCTATAACCACGCTCGGGTGGCTCGTCAGGCTACTTTTTCTGTTGCCCATAAGTAATTTTATGTGCAAATACGGTCAGAATTGCACGCCAGGGAAAGTTGAGGCGCAGTGGTTCCTCGTGGGGCGGTCATTTAAGATGACAAAAAAAAGTGAGCCAAATGTGATCCACATCATAGTGAGTATGAATAGAATAGGTAATCATGTGTAGTTAACACTTGCACATTTTGTGATTGCTGTAAATGCACAGCACAATTGTACAAATATTTCACATTACATGTGGTTTTTTAATCAATATAAAAATCTGGACACGAAAAAAGGGGTCCGCAGCATGTGTGGGCTGCTGGCTGCAAAGATTTCGGCCAAAGATGGGATCTAACTAGTGGACAGCAACGCTGGTAGAAAAAGGGTATAGGAAGTCGTCAGCTTGAAATCTTTAGTGCAATCAATGCACCCGCCAAAAGCAAAATAAAACTACAGCATTCGGTCGCGGTGATGCACAACAGTACTAGATGCATACCGTCGATCATCCTTCTAAGTCCGCCGAATAGAAGTGTAATGTGTACACACACCATGATAGGGTACGTAACCCATCCACTGAGACGTAATTCCCTTTTTCTAGCTGAAAATATTGCCCCTAGTCTATATCAAGAAGACTACGCTCTAGCGCGAATCACGAATTAATGATACTACTTGTCTGAGCACATAGCTCAAAGACCCGCCCCGAAGGACAATGCTTTTGTATACCGTCCGTTGACGTGTCTTTCGTGGAAGATATATTTTGTGACGAATTGAAGTGTTTTAAAGTAAAGAAGTACAAGTGACTTACAAGATGTATCGTTCCACCCTTACCAAAAGCCGCATGTTCGTCGTTCTTCTCAAATAAACGCCTCTATGAGGCTTGAACGTTCCCACCATCCACCTACGCGTATGCAAAGCACACCGAGCCTGTTCCCGAATTGGAAAGCGGTCAAACCTTGCACTTCAAGGATAACGATGCGGTAAGTGTCACCTTGAAGAGGCCAGACTCTGACCACACATTTATGCTTGCCTGTCAACAAGTCTATCTGTCACAGAGACCTTCTGTAAGGTCGCAAAGAAGAAACATACGTTGTTCGGCGCAGCCCGTTCACACTTTAGTGTATGAGACTGCAATTCACTGTGAGGTAGAGTCGAATACATAAAACTTTCTTTGACTGTGCTTTTCGTCATCACAAATATTCAACCATATTGCATACTTTGGGCCAGCAGCGACGAGATCGGTCTTCACCGTTATAAGGGCTGTGGTAGCCCCGCGACAGTGCCAAATTGTAAAGTCGATTTGAGCATTCGCAGCCTCACTAGCGCTTTTTAGGCTAGTAATCTTGGCCCTGTGCCGAAGCTATCATATCCTTGTGCCCGTACCAAACGCTCTTGTGATCCCTGGTCTAGGTGCTTAATGGCTCGCCGCAGCTCCACTAGGATAGCCTCCAAATTTTTTAGTTTTATTTGATCGGTAGCTAATAGCTCTCCAGCCATGAAATTAATGCGATCATAATTCGAATATATAGCAGGAACAGAGAGCATTTGACGCGGCCAAAACCCCTCAAAAGTCACCTGAAGGTATTCATAACTTTAGACTGTATCACAAGTGAGCCCGTCAAATTATGCACAATTATTTTAGAGGTATTTGGCATCTTCGATGCCTTCGCGTACTGTCTGTTGTTTTCAGCAATCATGCATGGTACATTATTGCACGACTTTTACCGTCTGTCAGAATTTTTCGTGACTTCACAAAGCCTGGGGTTTTTATATGAATACCCAACAATTCTGGACTACGGGCTCTTTCGTTATTGAAGAGTCGCTTCTTTTGAAGCAAGATTCCACTGATCATGACCTCCACAGGTTTCGGTAAAATCCACCCCCTCACTAGCAGACCTATATAGCGTTCTCCGGGTCTTGACAATTCCCGGTGTTGCTTTTACGGATAATTTTGCAAGTTATTTGAACCCTTCATACCCCAAAGCCGAGAAAGAAGGGGGATCTCAAGACGCAGATACCAAAGAACAAACAGCTGGGAATTCTAGGAGCCGCTCGGCAACCAATAAATCTCTCTTTTCCTCTATAGTATGACTGATGCTCATCACATTTGGCATACTAATAAAGATTCCATTGCGGTACTTAAACCGACCCTTACATGCATTACAGAATTGTACTCCACATTCAATACAGTAGACAACCACCACTTTCTTGAACGAGTAACGGTGGACGCTAGACATCTCGGTTCGAGCGACACCAATTTGGACGCCTTCTATGAAAATGGTAACTGTTACAGGATCTGATACTATTGTCGCGATAAAGTTCTGGTCTTCTGTGTATGGTCTGCTACTTCCTGCCTCCCTTAACGGGTAGGCAAGAATCCCGAGCGCACTCGATACGCCTGATCAAACAAAGCAATCAGCTGCGACATATATATTTCAAATTTTTATATGAAGGCCTCTTTTACTAGGAACTCTGTAAGTTAGTGCCCATTCTCATGCACGGCATCTCAATTTGAAGACCGGAAGCACGACGCAATGTGATTCCGTCTGGAGCATTTCCGCATTAACAGCAACCCAATTTCCTCATACAGAGAAATATGCTTCTTCATCCCTGTACTCAAAAGGCTAAGACGTTGATACCTAACATGCAGCGGGGCTGCCGTAGCTTTGCGCTTTGAGGAACCGTAACTTAGGTCACCGACCTTTAGTTCTATACCTAGAACAAGTACGAGTTTAGCGGATCGCAATCCGCTTACTCCAAGAATAATCATTGCCTTAACCCAAGGCTAATTAACTTTCTGTTTAAAATCTAAAACTGACTTTTTATCTGCGGCAAAGCCGCCTAATTTTAAATGTACAGGGTTTCCTCAATATAAATAGTAAAATCTAAATACATGCATAACTACTGGCTACCCAGCCACATACCTTGATTCTTATTTGGGTGCAGTCACACCATGCCTATCTCGTGTGATACACACCCCTGTTGCCAGGGTACGTGTAACCCCGTTACATAACATCAGCAGCCTCTAGGTCGGAGCCGGTTGCACCTTCTCATTAGAAGGGTGGAGGCCTACAAAGAGGCACCTCACCAGCGCATTCTCATCGACGGTGAATGTCTATAGTATTTCATAACCGCTTTCGTCCTTTTGACCACCAGGTGTCCTTAAGACTCGTAATAATAAAGAGTTAAACTTACGAAGCGTGTCTAATCCTCCGATGTCAGATAGTCAAACAGCTCGTGCTCCATCATCGCAGAGGATATATTCCATTGACGACTCGGTCTTGGGATTGAATGCAAATGCTACCGAGTGCAACGAAATTACCGCGCACCTTACACAGAGAAATCATTGATTCAGCGATTAGCGTATACAACGCATGATATTGGGTTCGTACGCTCCACTTAGGTTTGAATACTAGAATGTATAAGTAAGCTCAGACATAGATTGAATTGAACTAGCATTATACATGTCCAATGATAAACGATCTATTTAAAGACGTGAAGCGAATAACCCGCGTGCACCACGGCCCCAATCCAATTATCTGTATTATACTACGAAATTTACATTCCACTTTAGTGAAGTGGAATGTAAATTTCGAATAAGACAGATGTAGGTAAAGCTAGAGTATGTACGCTATACACACTAGTTATATAACACAGCAGTAGCATGTCCACCATACACTTCCGTACAATTGATATGATACAATTGTACGAAATTTACATTCCACTTTAGTGAAGTTACATTCCACTTTAGTGAAGTTACATTCCACTTCGTACGCTATACACACTAGTAATATAACACACCATACGGGTGTACACTTCCGTACAAGTGTACGGGTGTACACTTCCGTATGGTGGACATACTACTGCTGTGTTATATTACTAGTGTGTATATCATATCAATTGTACACTTCCGAGTAGTATGTCCACCATACACTTCCGTATGGTGGACATACTACTGCTGTGTTATATAACTAGTGTGTATAGCGTACATACTCTAGCTTTACCTACATCTGTCTATTCGTTAATACGATAAACTAAATCTAAGCTGCTAGATTTCCTAATTCCATGTGAAATTGATTTTTTTTATTTTTGTTATATATATACTTGTGCTGTTAAAAATTATTTTATTTTTATTAATGAGCGTAAACAAGTCACGTCTCAATTTTCACCAATGGCGTACTGTCAATTCTGTCATCCAAGCAGCATTTGCAGTTTACGTATAGCAACCTCGTGACCATCATTCTTATCACATGTCTTCCTTTGCCTTCCGTCGTGCGTCTAAGCGCGTAGCGCTCATTAGCGCAGGCGTTGTTAGCGTATCTGGATTCGCAGGATCCTCCATTGTGTCGGCCAAAGAGCCACATCGGCTCGTAGCGCCAATAAAATGCGATGATGGTTCGACCATCATTCCGTACGAAACACCATCACGTGCTGTGCAACTTCAGCGCCTCAAACAAGAGCATTTTGACGTACTTGTAATCGGTGGTGGTGCCACAGGATCTGGCTGTGCATTGGACGCGGCAACACGCGGTCTAAATACGGCAGTTGTCGAAGCTCATGACTTTGCTGCAGGTACGTCTGGTCGCTCGACGAAGCTCATTCATGGCGGAATCCGATACCTTGAAACAGCTTTCATGAAGCTTGATTACGCAGCTTATAAGCTGGTCAACGAAGCTCTTGAAGAGCGCTCATTTTTCCTCTCAGCTGCTCCGTATATGAATCGTCCTCTACCGATCATGATTCCTATCTATAAGTGGTGGGAAGTGCCATACATGTGGGTTGGAGCTAAAGCCTACGACATTGTGGCTGGAAGTAAGCGCTTTGTGCCCAGTAGCTACTACATCAACGCTGAAGAGGCCATGTTTCAGTTCCCCATGCTTCGTAAAGAAGGTCTTAAAGGAGCTATTGTGTATTACGATGGCCAGATGAATGACACACGCATGAACGTATCTATTGCGCTCACTGCTACGCAAAATGGCGCTACAGTTGCGAACTACGTTGAAGTAATGCATCTTTTGAAGGATGAAGAAGGAAAAGTGCGTGGCGCTCATGTGAAGGACACTTTAACCGGGGAAGAATGGAATATAAAGGCTCATGCTGTCGTAAACGCCACAGGTCCATTCACAGACACGATTCGACAAATGGATGATCCCAAAAAAGACAAGATTTGTGTACCTGCTGCAGGCGTACACGCCGTGCTACCTGATCACTTTAGTCCAACTCGAATGGGATTAATCGTACCCAAGACAAGTGACGGCCGTGTCTTATTTTTCTTACCTTGGGAGAATGGAACACTAGCTGGTACGACCGACTCGCAGTCGGAGATTACAATGCTGCCTTCTCCCACTAAGGAAGAAGTGGACTTTATAATCGATGAAGCTAATCGGTATCTTGCCAAGAGCGTGACTCGCAACGATGTCAAGTCGGCCTGGTCAGGTATTCGTCCGTTGGTTAAGGATCCACGTCATTCGGATGGGTCGACGTCTAAGATTTCTCGCGAACACATTGTCGAGGTGTCGGAGTCTAACATGGTGACGATTGCTGGGGGTAAGTGGACAACATATCGTCGCATGGCTCAAGACGCTATTGATAAGCTTATCGAGACGGTTCCGGAGATCAGTTCCAAGGCTTTACCTTGCAAGACAAAGGACGTGGGGCTCATTGGAGCGGACCGAATTGGTGAAGTGTGCAACAAGAAGTTTGACAAGATAACTGTCACTTTGCGTGAGAGCTACAACTTGGATAAGGATGTGGCCGAGCACTTGATGCGTAATTACGGCACGCGTGCGTTGCAAGTCGCGGAGATTGAACAAAAAGGCTTTTTGGACCGCAAACACAGCGACCACCCGCGTCGTCTCCATCCAAAGTATCCGTACTTAGAGGCGGAAGTGGTGTTTGCTGTCCGACAAGAATATGCTCAAAAAGCGACTGACATTCTAGGACGTCGGATGCGTCTGGCTTTTATTGACAGCAGTGTGAGCACGGAGATGATGCCACGTGTGGTGTACATGATGGGAGAGCTACTTGGATGGTCAAAGGCACGTCGCGAGCAGGAGATGGCGGAGTGCAAGGAGTACTTGGCGACTATGCACAATTAGATACCGTAATGCGCATATTTCAATACAGAGACATACGGTGCTGGTACTTTGAACCTCTTGGCTGATAACTTAGCTTGCCATCTTGCTGCGTGTGTGTACAGGAGATTTCAACGTCGATGATGACTGCGACTCTTGCCTTTTTCTTGCCTTTGAATTTGACAGCACCAAAGCTTTCTTGACCACTTTTTGCGTATTATATGTTGCAATCAAATGTAGAAGTTCTCGTGCGAGAGCAGCATTCTTGAGCTGCTTCTCGACAGGTTTTTGGATCAACCCAATGGATTCTTTCACTGGAACTGGAGACATTAAAGCAGGTAATAAAGTGCCTCGGTTCTGATTGCGTCGCTCACTTTCGTTGTCTTCCGCCAGATCAATGAGCATATCAAGTCCAAAGCGCACGAGCTGCTGGCTGTTTTTCGCGTGTCCAGTGACCAAAGACACTAGTGCAGCTAGCAACGCCTCAACCACTTCTTCACTCTGATGTATCTGATTGAACACACCGACAAGGTGCTGGACGCCGCTTAAGGCACCGACAAAATCTTGATTACGGACGTTATTGGCTACTGTATTTCGAAGCGCCCACAGACAAGAAATTCGCACTTGATGTTCGGCGTCAGCAGGTAAAATCTCGGACGCTGCAGTTGGAACTAAAGGCGAAAGTCTGGTACAAATTTCAAGCAATTTTTCAAGACTGTGTTCATTTTGAAGTTGAATCTGAGCACTTGAATTTGTCCATACTTTGTCAGCGATCGTGTCGCTGAGCAAAGGAACAAGCGACGGATTCGTTGTGTCCGACAGCAACACGATGAGTTTCTCTAAATCGACAGATTCGAGAGATTGATTAGAGGATTTCGTCTGATCTTCTCTATATTGACGTATGTCGGCCAGGAGGTCAAGAGCCTCCAGCGCTAGATCACACAACTCTTTATTCGTGTGACCGCTTAGTGTCACTAGCGTGTCAATTCCGTGAGGAACTTGAAGCATCTTTGTCTTGTTAACGTCGTGTAAGCACATGTTGATGACACCAAAAAGAGCATGTTGTTGAGCTGCGATGTTTTCTGATCCACAGATTCGAATGAAAACTTCAAGCCCATTGACTGAATTTACATCAAAAGGATCTTCGAAGATTGGCGAACCCATTTGTAAAGCAATTGCATCACTGTACGATAATGAACACAAAGCTCTGGTAGAGTTTTCCAACAAAATTCTATCATCTTGAAAGAGAGTACGACCAAGGAACTGCATCCAATCGGTACGAGATGCAACAAGTCGGCGATTGGCCTCATTGTAAAATAAAGAATTGGCCAGGATACAGAGTGCGTGTTGTCGAATCTGTAGAACAAACTTATCAACTTCCTCATTTGCAATGGCGTCTTCCAGAAATTTGGATTTCGAATCAACTTGAAGAGTGCAGAGCTTATAAAGTTGATCAAAGTATCGAGCAATACGATACTGATTATCACGATTCCATGTAAGATTTGCAAGAGCCCAAGTGGCTTGTACCACTATTGCCAAGTCATCTGTTCGAGCTGTAAGCAAGAAAAGGGCATCAATGCCGCTAGCTGCTCCAATTGCACCTCGAATCGCATCAGTTTGAGCAATACTACCCAAGACAACTGCCCCATGAAATGCAACATTGCGATTACAAGAAGCACACATTAAAACGAATGTCGTGACACCCGCATGATTTGATCTCGATCTTGTCTTTTTCTGATTGTCGTACTCATGCGTCTGGATTTCATTTGAAGCACCTGATATTATTGCTTTGTCTTCTAGTAAAATATAGTCAGCTACACTGAAGGAACGATGGTCGCTCTCGCTCCTTTCGTCATCAAGCAACGTAATTGTATTGGCAATCACTTGGGATGCGTACATTTGGATCCAATCATCGATTTCTACGTCAATAGCGTCGTGAATTTGGGGCGAGGTGCATAATTTCGTAAGAATTGCGATTCCTCGAGATTCGACAATCATTTGACATGACGGTACGTGATCATGAGAAAGGTGTGAAAGAATTTGAGTACATGCTAGAGTCAAATCAACATCTGCAAGAGCATTCGACGAGGTCACAGCTCGTTCACAGAGACACAAGAGTAAGGGGATACCGCCTTCTGCAAAGATCAGTTGCTGATTGAAAGCGTTCTGATATGACAAATTGGCAAGCGCCTGAGCTGCGTGTCGAACTAGTTGGGGGCTGTGTTGGTCAAGTGAGGATTGTAACAGATTTACGAGTAATGAAATGCTTCCATCTAATTGTCCAAGGGTTGAGGTGTTGTTTGAGCTTCGTGCAATAAGAGCAAAGGAGTGCAACGCGCTACATTTTACCCGTTCATCAAATTCTGATGATCTACACAATTCGAAAATGGTTCGTAGAATATTGGACGATAGCCCAATATATTGTTGATTAGCCACGTTCATATCAGGAGATACTTTCTCATCAAAATGTTGCCACGTTGATGAAAACAGAAGCCTTTTAAACTTGCCTCGTCCTCCTGTTGAACTCAAATTGTGATCAATTTCACCAGAAATGTCATCAGTTGGTGCACTAGGATCTGCTAACCAGTTCAAATGGGTACTTTCCTCCTCAGCCACATCATCAAATGACGTGTCCGTCGCCGATAATTTGTCTAGAACAGCGTTGGATTGCGATTTAAGCCATTGAAACCAAACTGTTTTTGCCTTCCACCCCACTGACCTCATTGTAGCATTAGCATTCCACGACAATTGACCAAGTGCATGAGCACAAATTGCACGTATCTCTTCTCGCTTTGAAAACTGAGCGAGCGCGGCAAGCACTTCAATTCCAGCATTTTCACGGAGAGAATCGTTACTTTCTGCTGTGGCTCCAGCAAGAATTTCAATCCCGTGTGAAAAAAAAGAAAAGAGCAGATTTACATCTGTGAGAATGCTCTGTGCTGTCACGCGGTGACGCCAATTGATTAGTCGCAAGCCACGTTGCAATTGTATATGCCGCTGCTGATGACGTTCAATGTCTTCTTGCAATATGCTGTAATCCTTTGCAGCGTCTTTTGCTGATCGTTGTAGCGCAAGATTCCACATTTCAAGATTGTGAATCCTTTTGATTTGCGAAGAAATGCGAAAATGCATATCGTTGACTTCAGCAGCACGTCGTTTTTCAAGCGATGTATATGCTTTTAACAGTTGCTCATTCCCAGCACGTTGAGCTTGCAATTCTCTCTTAACCGCCGTAAGCCAATGAGTTTGTCTGTCATTTACATTTTCCAGCTCTTGTAATCGCATTTCGAGTTCTTCTCGAATAACGTCATGCGTACGTATCAGTTTCTCTCGCTCCAAACGATAATTTCGCTTTTCGTTCTCAAGTAGAATCTTCAGCTTTTGTGTCTCTTGTTGAACGGCTGTAATGACCTCGAGATTTTGCAATCGTATACTCTCGCTTGCAGCTTGATAATTAGACTGTAAACGAAAAATTCTGCTGTTTAAGTCGTCAACTTGTGTTTGCAGAGTGACTTTTGCTTGATTCAACGCATCGATCTGAAGTTGTAAATGTTGCTCTTGTTCTTCATGTTGCGTACGTATCAAAGACAAAGCTTCTTCATGACGCGACAACTGCTGCTTTGTCATCCAATCATCTGATGTCGTGTGCTTCATTAGACTACACGCAGCAAGTGCTCGCCAACGTTTTTCACGATCATAACACATGAGAAGAAATCGTCTGACTTGCTTCAAATACTGCCGCTTGGTCTCGTATACACGCACATTCTCTTCAAACTGCTGTTTCGTGAAAGATTCCACACTTTCATCGATAGAACAAGAATGTTCTTTCGTCTCATTCTGCTGAACCAGCAGATCAAGCGTATCCCCACTTGTCTGTAACTCATTCATAAGCGTAACGTGAAGCTCCCAAAGACTCTGTTTTTCATTAGCCAATATAGACTCTTCACGTAGTCTTGCATCCACAATGTCACATGATTTCAATTCGAGAGACACGAGCAATGCTTTTGCTTTCTCTTCTTTCGCAACCTTTGCTTCTAATTCACTTTTTTGTTTTGTTAAAAGTGCAACTAGCTTTTCAGATTGAGCTTCGAGTCTCATTCGTTCAAGAGGATAATGAGCTTGCATCGGTAATGCGTAAGCATCTTCTAGCCGTTGCTGAAGTTCATGCAGTCGATCTTGCACTTGTAAAACAGATTCTTCGCGTGCTGTTCGCTCAACAAGAAACCGTGCTCGCTCCACTTGCGTCTGGGCTTGTAGATCCCATAGTTGTGTATTTGCAGCCTTTTCTGAATCTCTTAATCGATTAAAGAATTCAAAGTCGTCTTCGTAGCGCGCTAAAGCGCTCACAAGTTGTTTTAGTGACGTGCCCAAGAACGAACGTCGATCCGATAGTTCATGCAGTTTACTGCTTCGAATCCTTTCTGCTTTTTCCGCATATACAGAATCAGTTGAAGCTTTCAACGCGTGCAATTCGGCTTCGTCCCTCGTCAGAGGAGTATCATCGGGGTCGTTGCCAGCGAATGATGAACTGTCAAGACTTATGTTGGCAGATCTAGATGCAGTAACAAAACCAGACGGTAAGGAGTTTTCTCCTTCAGGAGAGGTTGAAACGTTATTATTGATGAAATCCTTTGAATCATCATTACAGTCGACGCAATTGTCCTCGTCCGAAAGAGAATCTACGCTTAAAATTCGAGTACTTGCTCGCTCAAACTCTAGGTGACTTGGTTGCAACTGCTTTGGGGCTTTATATAAAGTGAGTGTAGCCTCCAATCTGGCGATTTCATCCTCAACACTCTGTTGCTGCTTTCGAATTTCATGACAGTATTCTTGTATTGCAGCAGCTTTCGCAGCAGCGTCGTCAAGACGCAACGCACTTTTTTCTAGCAATTGAGACTCGAGATGCTCGCTTTCAAGCACGCGCGACTCAATGTGCTTCATGTGAACAAATTCGGGCTCAAATTGGTGACGATTGCGAACACGCACATCTCGCGTTAAAGGAATAGAGAGATACAAACGGTCGAGACGTCTCTGCTGCGCAAATTTGAGTAGTTCTTGCTCGACTGCCATATCTACTACAGAGGTCAAGCCCTTCTTTGCAATCGTAATTCGAGCGTACACTGGCGCAATCGCTTTCGCCTGCTGAACCTTGCGCTCTTGCGCGTCAGCTTTAGCTTTTGCTGCCGCCTGCTCCTCTTGCTCAGCTATTTTTCGTCGACGCTCAATAGCAATCACTTCATCGTCTTCTTTTTTTAAAGTCTCTTGCTCTTGCGCAAATAATTCACGCGTAGCAGTCAGCACTTCCATTGCAAACGTGCGTTGATTGGCAGCACATTGCTCCAACTGCATTTTCAACGATTCGTAGCGTTTGAACTCCTCTTCAAACCGCTCACGAGCTGGCATGGGATCTAACAGAATTCCGTCGTCACAGTCTTCTTTCTCTTCGTTCCTACCGGTCTCAGATTTTTCTTCGTCACTGTTTTCACCGTCTGGCTGTTTCGTTCGTCTTTGGGCTTCTGGATAGAAATTTTCCAATCTGTAGTCTTCTTTCCAATCCATAGTAGTTATATTCCAACCTGCTGGTGCTTGAAAATCGATGGCCACGGGAGCATCCCACACACTCACACCAGTGCGTGTATTTGTATAGTATGGCAACTGAGTGTCGTTCTCTTCAAAAGATTGTGGAAACACAACCTTCCAGTTCAACGCCTCTTCGAGATACTGACGAACACGATCACGTTCGACTCGCTTAGTCATCAGCGCCTCATAATATCTGCGTTCTTGCTCATCGGTCAAGTCTTTAACAAACTCAATCTCAGCTTTTGTGATCAAAAGCGTTGGTAGCGGTACATTATCAGGCCAGAGTTTTGTGATCCATGTTCGTTCCTCTGCTCGATCGTCTCGTTCTCGTTGAAGCTGTATATGCAAACATTCGACTTGTCGTCGCAAATCGCGACATACTTCCTCATGCCTATTAACGAATGCTCGACTTTGTTGGACTGCGTTTTCAAGTCGCTGTTCACACTCGTCTAAACGCGTCGTTTGGATTTGTAGATAACTGTTGACTTTCTGCTGCACTTGTGAGATCCCTTTCTCGAAGACTTGATCGAATTCAGTTTTAAGAGTCGACGCTGGCTGGTCTTTTCGATCGATGCTGACAAAGGTTTTGAATTTACTTTCATTGAACAAATCAGTTTCGTTGACTTTTGCTGCATGATTGCCAGCATCATGACCATCGTTTGAATCTTTCTGGTCTTTAATAGCTTCGATATCATTATTGCCGATGTCGCTGAGAGCAACTTTTTCACTGGAACTCTCCATCGTCCGAGTGGCCTTTCATCAGTACGGAGATATATCGCTAATTTTAATTCGGTAGGTTTCTGACTTCGTCACTTTTGATTAAATCGTAACGTCACAAGATGCTGAAGAATCGAGCATGAACCTTTAGTGAAATGAACATCTACGATAGCCTAAAATAGTCTTATGCAGTTCATGACTATCTCCAGGAATAGTGTAATGTCGGCTAGTGCTCTTTTCAACTCTCAGTAAATTCATTGTTCAAGAGATCTCGATAATGAAGCTTCGTCAAGGTTGTGCCTACATCTTGTGCACTAGCATTCTACTTGTTACCGTGACAACAGCGACTAAAATGACTGTAGTTCAAGTCTTCGACGCGGATTCATGTACTGGTGTGCCACATCAGATTGTATTTACGCCTACAAACGATTGCAGCAACATGACTTCTCAAGGTGGTTGCTCATATGAAACCAAGGACATGGGCATTTTTGCAGCAGGCAACTGCACCGACGATCCACGCGCATTTGCAGCTGCAACATATAACGACTCCTCCTTTGTACTAGTAGAGCATTATGCTATTGATACTAATTGCTCAAGTCTGATGGGAGTCGCTGCTTATCGTGCCGATCGTGACTGCCATCGTACAATCGACGCCAACATTAGCGTCTGGGTAAATTGGAAGGACATTTTACCATCTTTCAATCTTTACGATGACTCCTCGTGTAACTCGTTGCCTATATTTCAGTACAAGTTTAGCGACAATAGCGACGAGTGTGTCGACGGTAGTTTTAAACTCATTGCCGTGCATTAACATCATTTGAGGAATGAGATAAAGCTAATTAAAGTGTGAGACAGTGGGTTTGCCATTCAAATTTTACGAGGTTTTTAAGCACGACAAAAATATAATACGTTTAATTTTCATTGGTAGAAAATTTGTTGCACCTCGGTCTAGAATGGCAATATCGTAAAACGTCTCTGCGCCATCCATTTACAGCCAAAAAGCCTTCTACTTTCCCTCCCTTCGCGATCATTATCCATTCTGCTGAGAAGAAGGTACGGTACTTTTTCGCAGTCTCAAAATTCTTAAAATTATAATATTCTTGACTTCTGCTCATGTGTTTACTATTAAGGTAATTAAACTATGGGCAAGGAAAAGACTCACATTTCGCTGGTTGTGATCGGTCACGTCGATGCCGGCAAGTCGACGACTACGGGTCATTTGATCTACAAGTGCGGTGGTATTGACAAGCGTACCATTGAAAAGTTCGAGAAGGAGGCACAGGAGCTTGGAAAGAGTTCGTTCAAGTATGCTTGGGTGCTTGACAACTTGAAAGCCGAGCGTGAACGTGGTATCACAATCGACATTGCGCTGTGGAAGTTCGAATCTCCCAAGTACTTCTTCACGGTCATTGACGCCCCTGGACACCGTGACTTTATCAAGAACATGATCACGGGCACATCCCAGGCCGATTGTGCTATTCTTGTGGTTGCTTCGGGTGTTGGCGAATTTGAGGCTGGTATCTCGAAGGACGGTCAGACACGTGAGCACGCTCTGCTTGCTTTCACCCTTGGTGTGAAGCAGATGGTTGTTGCTATTAACAAGATGGACGACTCCTCTGTTATGTACGGCCAATCTCGTTACGAGGAAATTAAGGCCGAGGTTACCACCTACCTGAAGAAGGTTGGCTACAAGCCCGCCAAGATCCCTTTCGTGCCTATTTCTGGATGGGAGGGTGACAACATGATCGACCGTTCGGCTAACATGCCATGGTACAAGGGACCATACCTTCTCGAGGCCCTTGACAACTTGAACCCACCCAAGCGTCCAAGTGACAAGCCTCTTCGTCTGCCTCTTCAGGACGTTTACAAGATCGGCGGTATTGGCACGGTTCCGGTCGGTCGTGTCGAGACCGGAGTTATTAAACCCGGTATGGTTGCTGTATTTGGCCCCACTGGTCTATCTACTGAAGTTAAGTCCGTTGAAATGCACCACGAGTCTTTGCCAGAGGCTGTGCCTGGTGACAACGTTGGTTTCAACGTAAAGAACGTATCAGTAAAGGAACTTCGTCGTGGTTTCGTGGCTTCGGACTCGAAGAACGACCCTGCCAAGGGCACCCAGGACTTCACTGCTCAGGTCATTGTGTTGAACCACCCTGGTCAGATTGGCAACGGTTACTCGCCTGTGCTTGATTGCCACACGGCCCACGTTGCTTGCAAGTTCAAAGAGATTACGGAGAAGATGGACCGTCGTTCGGGCAAGGTTCTTGAAACTGCCCCTAAATTTGTTAAGTCGGGAGATGCCTGCATGGTTATCTTGGAGCCGTCAAAGCCAATGACTGTCGAGTCGTTCGCCGAGTACCCACCGCTTGGTCGTTTCGCTGTCCGTGACATGCGTCAAACGGTTGCTGTCGGTGTTATCAAATCGGTAAACAAGAAGGAACCATCGACTAAGGCCGGTGCCAAAAAGAAATAAGCTTGGAATGTATTGCCTCGGTAGTTGATGACAGTCGGTTTCGCTGATCCATTCTTCTCTCCATGTATTTGCCAGAGTCTGAATAACTAACAGAAAAATAGAAAGCCTTCCTTGCTCTCTCTTAGTATAGTAGCATTGAAAATGCGCTAATAGAGCAGGAAAGGAGGATGTTATCTATTCACTCTTCAAGTATTGATCATGGCAGTCTCTAATTAAGTAACTCTTCAAGTATTTCACATTTCGATAGGTGATGTGATCGAGTAGATTGTAAGGATTGAAGGGATTGAAAAATTGTGAATATGAAGATTTATCTGTCACGTGATTACTACCTTTATGTGGAGCTTAGGGTGAAAGATAGGAAACTGTCATTAAAGTCTCAAATTGTCACCAATAAGATCTAAAGATCTAGGTAAAAGTCTGACAACCATCCAGACGACTTATGGCGAAGGAGCTCCATAAATTCTTGTTAGATACTGGCGCATCAAAAATGTGAATCGTCATATATATTGTAAATTTTATACAAACAGGAGCCGACAAGGCTGTCTTTACAGGGGAATTAACTGTCAACGAATGCCATTCTAGCTATCTTAGAATTACACGTGAGGTCTTATCAAAGACACAGCCAAAAAAATGGAAAACTGAAAGGACTCTGAACAAGTTCTTGTCTAAATTTAATATGATTAAGACTAGTGGTAAATCGTCATGTAGAACAATTTTCTGATGACGTAATGAACGAGAATGTCTCGAGAGAGCCCCGGATTGCTAATGTTGTCCATCTGGGCGAGCTACACATTAAGTGCAATGATCAAGAGCAGTGATCTAAACTTTGGCTACGCAGACGTGGTGGCACAGGATGCATTACCGCATGTCCCATCCTTTGATATGAGTTTGAATTGAATAATACGGAAATCTGAATTATTGTTCGGTGCGTTTGTGAGAACATATCGAATGGCGAAAGTTGATTGCCTGAACAGAGACGTTTTATTCAATGACATGTCCAAATGCACTGTGGAAGGTCCACGAATTTTTCTTTTTCCGCTGAGATTAATTAACCAGCTATCGATTGAGGTTTCCTTGACTGTAACGAGTTCTAACTAATGTATTGAAAAGTAATACTATTCAGACTAAAAGTGAAGATAAACTGTTAAGAAGCTCATATAAAAAGCTGTCTATTGATCTAATGTTCCCATATATTATCTCTCTCCTTTTAGGTGTTCAATTTTACCGATACTTCGGTACATATAGATAATAACAATTGCAGCAAAGTGCAATGTGAATTTTCTTAATTGTATTTGTTAATATTATGTCAAATGTGTGATGTACAAGTACACGAGATACCTTTATTTTCCCACACAACCCAATAAGATTTGAACCACGCTGCGCTTCTTTCGACACTGCGCAAAAGTAACCGCTTCTTGAGCAACCACTACGCTTGGAGATCCACTTCACTTTCTGAACTTTAACTATCGTCGAGCTTCCGTGCACCAAATTTTATCTGGATCTAAACTCACGTAGCTGGGATGCCACGAACCTTGAGTCGAATAAAAGTTGACAGAGCCAGAATGCGACTGAGTATCTTTTGTTGCTAAGAGTTTGCTTGCATTCAGTCCCAACGCTTGCGTTTTTCCGGCACTGACTTGCATGGAAATCATAATGCAGTGGTGCCTCATGACGAGGACATCAGATACAGATTACTGTACGATACACTTATAAACCGTTCGCGTGGCGTTCGCGAAAATATTTCTGATTGGTGAGCGCAGCGTATAAGTTGGCAAGCACATATATGCGCACGTGCGACACTTAACCACGGATCAAACCCTCGTCTCATGCGGCAGTACTTTTGGCTTGTGGGCAGCTTAAAGCAATGGCAGAGCGTTGACAGTCTACCAAAATGGTCAATATTCTTTGGTCTTCTAAAAGAAGCGCTTGCTGATACCGCACAATGAGATCATTGTGAACCGTCTGAGCAAGATGGGGCATCTTGCTGCTGTCGGCGACACGTCTAATTGCCACCATAGTTTGCTGGTAACCATTGTGTCAGATCGAGATGTGCGCTTCGAAATAAAGTTTTGACGAGCTTCGGTCTGAATGCTGGACCATATTCATCTTATCAGCCGCGTGAATCTCGTGGTAAACGGTGCCCTCCGGAATACTAGCACGGACAGCTCACGGTACCGGAGCGAGTCACCCAGTGTGTTAGCGCTGAATGATGCATACCACTACAGACATTATTATTTCGATAAATTATCGTGTTAGCTTCCTTTGTCACCACCACAAAGTTTGATCGTTCATGGTGGGGTAGGGGTTGCCGATACAAGTTGACTCGCTCGAATAAGTCCGCTACAAGTTGTAACTAAATCACAGATGTTATACCAATAGGAGCGTTAGCGCTGAGTGCGTGACGCTATAGCTGAGGGTCAGGATGATCAAAAGTAAGATATGCATACGAGACACACATGCATGTGTATCAAAGGACTTGTTCAAACGCTGTCATTCCACCAGCATACAGTGTTTGCGGTCTACAAGACTGAGTCACAAGCATGATACATCATCTTATTGTCGGTCGTAGCGAGAAAGGAATTGATATGTACTTGTGACATCCCAAAGAGAATGCAAACACTATATACGTGGGCTTGATTCAGCTATATCACGATCCTGGTTATACGAGCCATTACAATATTATTGCTCTGCTGCAAGATAATCAGCGTTTTTTCTCTACAGCTGAACAACGATCTGCATCTTGAGATGGGCCTATATACGTCGTGATAAGACATTACCGTGATCCCTTCGACAGGAACCGCATCGCTTCTTCCAGTATGAAACATCGTCGGACTTAGTATCGTGAGCAAATAGGAGGTATAGCAGCGCAGAGAAATTCTTCTCCTCAGTGAGAGATTTGTTCGTATGTGTCTAGGTATGATGGGAGGTATTGGGTAAGGACTTTCCCTGTGACCGCTTTTACCGTAGAGCGCATCCTCACTTTGTACGGAATGAAGATCCTCGATCGTAAAGACCGCGTTTTTTATATCTTGCTATGTCATGGAATAGTGTACCCAAGAGCGAATACCAAATGCGTTAATGTCTTAGAATCAGGTATGTAAGGTGTTAGTATTGAAGTAATACTCCAAATGTAGTGGGCGCTCGATGAACATTTACTTTTGTATAATGTCTTCTAGGAGACAGTACCGTGTGGCCTACATCAAGATGGGAGAGGGTGTCACGGGGTCTGCGTGTCCCGTGCCATCTGTACAATTACACAAAAATTACATTTTATTAATGTAGAATTGTGATCTTTTTGAGCTGCCAAAGTATCAATACTAATAAAGATAATAAAATCCGTAAAGCAGATTTCCATATTACACATTGACTATGGTTTTACATCAAGCACTTTAGATTTTGAAAGTAGTAACACGTATACGTTTAACATTAGTCCAAAATTCTATAATTTGACACTCTCATAATAGCAAATTATTAAGGCTCTAGGTTCCACTACTGGCTAAAGCGCTCGTGCAACAAGGATGCTGTGCACCTGATCCATATGATGCTATGAATTGCAACGCCCACATTAAATCGCTCACAGATAATAGGTTCGTGCGCTCCTACCGAAAGCGGATCCAAATCCTTTACTGTAATTAGATGTCTAGCTAGCTCTGCTATCTAAGAGTACGTAAATTTAGTATTAAGTACAATTAGTCTGATATCAAATAAATAAAACTAACTTTCTTTAAATTCAAGTGTCCGTCGTTTCTAACTTTCTGCTAGTTGCCCACGTGTACACAAAGCACCCCCTCGTAATACCGTGGTCTTAGTTGAGCTTAAACTACGGCGCTTGAATATTCACAATCACACTAGTGTAATCTGAATCTCGTACCAATGCAGCGAGACCTTTCAAAGACAATTGTATCAAATGTGAAAGAGTCAGCTAACAAGATTATAGTACTTGCCCTGGTACACTATTCCTATTAAGATCTGGACCATATTAAGGCTCACACTTGTTTGTTATGTTGAGACATTACGCAAAAATGACCGCTCACAGGCATCCACTGAACATGGAGCTCCATTTCACTTCCTGCATTTTACCGTGTCTAGCTACCCTGACCGAACATGCACTTGGATTCTGCTCCCACGCGCTAATTTATATAGCTCACCAAAGGCGAGGTCTTTGCGACAGACACTTTTAAAATTCTCGACGATTGGCCGACGGTGGTCCTTGACAATAAAAGCATCAGTGATTTGCCCTGTTCTGGCCAAACATCTTTCTGTTCAATTTGCGACACACGGCCGAGCCGTTTCTTAGGAATGAGATTTTTGGCCCCCCGCTACACGAATTCCGACCTCGTGCTCTTTTAGATCGGCACAAAATGTTTTGATATTCCATCGTGGAGCCTACGACGATGTTCACCTTGTTATAAACAGGCTCAGTCTGGCTACCGAAGTCCAGTTCGCTTTAGTTCAAGCGCAAGATTCACACCGACCGACCCTTGACCAAATCACGATGTGATTACGGCTTGATACTGTCCAAAATCACTCGCTGCACTGGAACGGAGCTCCTACACGCCTATGCGTGTGGGCCTTCTGCTCACGCTCAAAGCGAAATAAGCGCAAGAAAGTCGCCCCACAAGCGCTAACCTACACATCGTTTCTCCCTATAGGTACCCTCTGCGCTTGTCGCAGCAGTAGGCAGGCAGGATCATATCATAAGACACCAACATAAGCTGAGTGTCATGTGCGTCAGTCGGAAAGCCTTGGGTTAAAAAGCGATACGGGCAACACGCGCTTTGTAACCTAGATTTCCAAACACCTTGCTTTGCAATGCTTTCAGCAACGCTACACATGATGAACCTGACCTATACTCTGTAAGCATCGCCTTATCAATCGCGACATCACCAATGTGACCTGCGACAATTCATAGTCGGGGTGACGCAAAAGCTCATCCGCTATCTCACCGGCTTATAACTTACCGTAAAAATATATTTGGCATCAAAAGGATAACCATCTTGCTATGCTCTGCGAAAGATGTGTTGATGACATCGCTTTGCGCAACCACGCGTGATCTGTTTGTACCACAACGGCTGAGAGCCAAGCAGGTGCACCTCAAACTTGATGGGGGTATACTTTACCGCAAGCATCTTCGCGCTAGTTCTTCTCAGTAGCTATAGCTGGCTGGACCTAAAAAACGCGATTACGCGTTCACGCCCTTTCGCATCTGCTTGAAGACGGAGAAGTCTGCTTTACTGGGCACGAAAGGTTGAGATGGCTATGAATTATTCCTTGCAGTAAACAGAGCATTAGTTTGCCACGCTAGCGGTCAACACGGTGGACGATCCCACGCAAGAATGGACACTAGTATGCGGCAGTTCAAGAAACGAGACACGCATCAACACATAAATACTCAAGCGGCAGATGTCGAGAGTCTTTGCAGGCTTTTGTAGTCGACTAATGATTTCCTCTATGTAAGAATTTGCTGGAATAAGTAGACAGAAACTTGTTGGGTGTCTCGTGTTGTCCCAGAAATAAATACGCACGTTATATCCTCACAAGGAGACAACCTTATTCGTAATGGTCGCCAGATTGACGACAAGTACCGCCGGATGCAACGGGATCGTCGTGCCTCGCAAATAGAGAGCCTTGACTCGTTAACTAATCCACATAGTCTCGGTTCCTCCGCTTTAGCGAGGAGCTATTCCAGAGTGTTCACTTTTGTCAATCTTGCGGCAAATTGTGAGCAATCAATCGTAGAAATATGATGTGCACCTCACGAACTTCGCTGGATCGATGATAACGACGTCACCAATACCAAAAACTGCCTAATAATGATTGATTTAATACGCTATCTATTAAGCTTTGTAGAGAGAGCATATGTAGTAGTTATATTGTCGGGAACTCCAAGTTGACTGTTATCCCTATTCCAAATACAGCATACGACAGAAGCACCCGGATGTAACAATAATCGTTGCTATTCCGTGCGATGCCTCCAGGGCTTGTCGTCTTGGATTCTGCAAGATTAAGTCGACGAATGTTGGCATCTGCAAAGTAAACTTTTTGTTTTCATGCTCTGAACTCTGAAAGTCATGGATCGACTTCGCATGAGTTCACTATCAATGAAATGAAAGCATTAGTTGTTGTGGGTTTATCAAATTGATACAAGCACTTAAGAGCATCTTGGTAGATTGAAATATATCATTGCTGTAGGCATATCAGATACAACTTTGGCTGAAACATTGTCAAAGTATACCATAAGTCATCAATATTACGAGCGCTTGAGGTCAAGATTTCTTCAGCATAGATGCCGATTGTACTGAGAGCATATTGTCTAGACCGCCACCAGCTTTACAAAATAGCGACGAGAAGGTATCATTGGAGACAGTTAAAAGTTCGACGCTTAGGTCAGCGTCGATTGGATTTGAAAGTGCCTATTGATAACAGCATTTCATGTTTTTAAGAGGCGCATCTGGTGATTATTCATATTTGTCTTTATCCATTCCATGTTTAATTTTACTAACAATTCTCTGCTTATACGCTCGTGTTTGTATTTACTCTCCAGCAATGGCGTTAGCTCCTGGTCCGTCAACACCAAGACGGAGGCATCGAAACACCAGTGTGGCCTCTGTGCATTTACGACGCGTTTTTGCCAAGAGCGCTGCTGATTCTCTACTACCCTCTTCTTCAAACCAAAAAGCGGGGGTTGATGGTCGTGAACGTTGTCGAGCCCATTTAAAGGAGCCTCAATTACTTTGCTTTCAGCCTCAATACCAAGAGCAACTTGAGTCAAAACTTACGATTGCGTCTTTACAGGAAAATTTGTCGGCTCTTGTAAGCTTTAATAAGAGAGAGAAAGCTTTGTCGGCCTCACTGAAAGACGAAGTGGCTCGACTTACTGAGGAACTCGCCAAATTAAAAGGTCTTTGAACTATACAAATTACATCATTAGGATTTGTCGCCTTTGACAACAGGTCTTTCTGTCAGAGACTCACGAGGCTAACAAAAAGGAAGAGATGATCTCGAATGCGATTTTGGAGATAAAATCTGAGTGCGATAGCGACAAACACTTTTTGCCTGATATCAGTTCAGGCGTGTTGGCGGCTGGCTCACAATCAACACTTCAGCAAATGGAGTCGAATCAGAGTAAGGTGCGAAAAATGAATAGGTTTGTGAATATTTTAGATGTCTGATGCTTGAGTTTTTCAGATGTTATCGCTCGAAGGCCGATGCCAACATATGACGGAGAATAACAAGAAGCTTCTTGCAACGATCGAGCAATTGAAGAAGACTCAGACCGAAACAAACCTTCAATTAGATGAATTAAGACAACGTAATGTGCATCTTTTAATTGATGCAGAGAGCATGAACAGCACAATTTCGTCTCAGGCAGAAATTATTTGTGATCTACGATCTACAGTCGAAAAGCTGAGTGTACGCAATGAAATATGAATTTTTATTGTCAATTGACTGGAATATATGTGCGCTATAGCACGATATGAAGCATGTTGGAAATCTGCACAACACATTGGTGCGATGTCAACGCGAGCTCGATGCTGTAAAAGAGCGTGAAAAGCAGCTTCAAGAGAAGCATGAACAACTGCAGATGTCGGCAAGGGAAGAGTACGAGGTACTGATGAGCAAATTTCTAGTGACTCAGCAGCGTCTTTCGAAAATCGATTCAACAACTGATCAAGACTCCGTCTCAGAGATCGAGATAAAGAGTCTACAGCAGGAGAAAAAGGTGTTACAAATCGATCTTGAAGCCATGACGTCCCGATGCAATGATTCGCAAGCACAAGTCGATAAATTGAAGAAAGCATCAAAAGTCCTTATACAGGTACCCCATTGTGCGTTATGAAAGGGTGAACAATCTTCTGATACCCAGCTGTGTTGCTTGTTACTGAGCTGCAGATGAAGAAACTGATGAAGACAGAGAAAAATGACGTTGAAGCGCTTCTAGCTCTTACTCGACAGAAGTTCGAGATCTCGCTTGAACGACAAAGAAAAACAGAAAAGCTCAATGCATCCCAAAAAGAATTCTACAACTTGTTTGAAGCAAGGAATGAAGAAGTGACGACTTTAATACAGAAAGTGATGCAGTTAGAAGACTGCATTGAGGAGCGAGAGCTGCGTCAAAGAGAAATCGTAGACGATTTTCACAGAGTAAATGCTGAGTTACAGGGTCTAAAGCAGCTATCTCAAGACGACACAGTTCAAGCTTTGCAGATGGCACGACAAAAGGCTGGATCATATGAAGCTTTGACACTGCTCAATGAGGAAAAGAAGGGTTTGGAAGATCAAGTTCGACTCCTACAAGAGAGACTTGAAGCTGAACGAGTGATATGTCATGAAGAAAAGGAGGCGAAGACCCAGTTACGAGAAATGCTCGACACCCGCGATTCAGTAATCGAAGAATTAAAAAAGGAGAATGCTGCATTGCTCGAGCAAATGAGGTATTCTCCTAAGATTGAGAATCCTTCACAGAAATAGCTTTTAGAGAAACGCAAGAAACGCACGCCTGATCACTTATAAAGACATTACAATTGATATGGGGGCGGCAACTATAGAGCTGATAGAAGATTATGAGAAGGCCACGACATTGTTAAATGATCTTTCTTACGCCAAAAGTGTCGCTAACATATCGCGAGATGAAAGTCATACAGTGACTAGAGTATCTAATATCCAAATTTTCAATTGCTGAAAATGGACATGACAATATTGGTGATGCCTGTTGTTCCATGAAGCTGTCGATTCACATTATATATTCGATAGTCAGTAAAGCAAACAATTACTTATCTCTCACATCGAGCTTCAAAACGAGCACATTTATCTATTAGCAACGAATATGTTCAAAGGTGAGCTTTGCGACCAAGTTCGGAGATACTGCGACTTCTCGGTATGTGCATTAGCCATCGCAATAATTCGATTCGATGTGCCTTGATCGCGTTTGACTAACGACATGTGTTCCATGGGGCTTTTCAGGGCCGTGCTGATCCGTAGAGGTTGTTTTTACAAGGTTATCACGGCTCCTTTTCAATCAGTTGGCCTGGGGTGTAGCGAATCTACACGCCCTGACCACTTGTACAGATTCCGTTGAGACTGAAGTACATGGCAAACAATTTACGATTTGCACAGACCCTTGTGTTGTATTCGAAGTAATTGAGTACTTGAGTACTCCACTGCAACCAAAATGCAGCCGTCAATGTCAGTATAGCTCTTTTCCACTCTCATGACCTCAACACGTAAAGCAAATTGACCTGAAAGTCAGTGGTTGCGAATTGGGTGAGTGTGCCAGCATTAGTAAAACAATCAGCACAAAAGTCATGCATTTAGTCGAGACCGCGGCTTCCAGAAACTCCACCAACCGAATCCGACGGCAATTTACTTAAAATTTGCTCATGCAAGAGCGTAACCAACACAATTGTTAGACAAATCTAAACAAATTGTAAAGGCTGCACAGACATTCACGACACAGCAACCAGAAGCAACCTCCCGTGCAGTTACTTTGACCGCTACTCAGTCGTCAGTAGGAATAAACATACCACTATCGCCTGAAGTATTGACTCTATGTTTGGACCTAGGCATACGATATCTCACGGACCACTATACTCAAATCTGTAAAGATTTAAGACGGATGTCATGATTTGTCTGCTGTGTTTCGTCTGCGTTGGTCGGAAAGAATGCAAACCCTGAACTATAAAATATATGCGCTTTGTGTCACCACTGCGCTACTCAGCTACTATAGTATTTGATCATGTTGGCACATGAAGCATATTTTATATCGTGAAGAAGATCTACGCCTCGAAGTATGCCACTTAGAGCTAAAACATTTTATTAAAGAGATCTTTTTTCGTTCATTTCGGTCTTTGGTAAAATGGTTAGCAAAGTGCGCATACATGCTTTGTTCTAGTCGCAATGTCAAGAATTATTTTAATCTCTGAAAAGTCATCTCAAATTAAGATAATGAAATGATCGTCTGTCCTTCCATCCACACTGAATTGTCAAAAGATTTACTGTGGAGAATAAACGTCTCGACTAGTTTTGCTTCTCTATAATCATACTTGAGAAGGAAAGCGTGGTGCGTTTATGAAGAATGAAAAAAAATTGTCATGTTCGGAAAGATTTGTGTACGCACCACAATATCAGCTATAGATAGCAGCTCTTTACGTGAATACTTGTCCTGAATCTCTCTCCTCTATCTATAGCGTCTTTACGTCCGAGTCGTGAATAGTTTCAATTGCCACTCTGGCATCTCATTTAATCGTGAGATTGTTATCTTTGGTGCTATGGGGGCAGCAGTCTCTGTGGATGATCCAAACGCGTCAGCGATATGGAGCGAGGTTTGTTTGTATATCAAATTTTAACCCTTTTGTCAAGTTTATTAATGAGCATTTTAAAGACGAAAGAAGAGTACGACCGACGCGTTGCTGCGGGAGACTCGAAAGAGTTGATCTTTTCTAGTCTTCGTGAAATTATCGCGAACCACATGAGCGAAGTGCCGTCTTTATCTTCCAACTCCTCGATCTCACCACGTGAAAATGAAGATAACACAACAATTGAGGTAAAATATAGTGATCGTTCGCAGTCGATGCTCATTGATCTCACCGCTTAACTATGACGGATTAAGCAGCAGCAAAAGCGTTTAGATTCATTCGATCAGACTGCTACTTTAACGCCATCAAATACGATTGATGGGATAATCGAGTCCGCTGAGCTTTTAGATCAAACGCCACTCGATAACGATGCCGACACTGACAATCTTCCTCATGACGAGCACGAGATGCATAACTTGGTCAATGAGAATGATATTCCACATGCTTATGCTGAAAGGGGCTATAAACGGGTAGTTGGACCATCTCGTGGTGTGCAAGATCTAGTCCAAAACCTCGCCCCTGTCTTTACAACAGATGTATTGACTGACCCAGCAACGCTTAAGATGATTCTTCGATACGCAGAAGCCCATAAGATACAGAGCGGTGCCGACATGCTTCGGTTTTGGGTCGAAATCGACGAGTTACAACACTTGCCGTCTCACTCATATACACACCGTCGCCTACACAAGATTTATGATAAATTTCTCTCCCCAGAGGCACAATCACCCGTCTGTGTGACCGCACAGATGCTTCAAGATATCGAAAAAGCTCTTGAAGGAGACAACATTTCTGCGGGAATATATGCTGGAGCGCAGCAAATTTGCTTTATTGCACTGGAAAAATCTGTCTATCCACGATTTCGAGAGAGTAAATTGTTTCAAAAGATGCAAGATTTCTGTGCGCCAATTGTCCCGAACACGGCAGTATCCGCTAACAATGGATCAAATTCCGGTCCACTTGCTGTGGCTTCCTCAGGTACTGCTATAAATTCAGTTCATGTTGAGGAGACTGAAGTTTATTCTCTCTTGGGGATTCTTGCCCACCCGGCCAAGCTTCGTTTCCTCAAAACATTTTGTATGGAAGCTTTGGCCCTGGAAAATCTGCTATTTTACTTGGAAGTTGAGGATTGCAAGCGTCTTCCAAACTTGTCGTTTGTGGTCAATAAGACTCGAAAAATTTATGATCGGTATTGCTCACCAACGTCGAAGACATATATTGCTAGCTTAAATGGAAATGGTGCAATGAAGGAGCTGCAGGACGTTGTGGACAGTAAAGGGGCTCTCGTGCCAAAGTTGTTCCATGAAATCCAGATCAGCGTCTTTGAGCGTATAAGTGACGAAATTTGGCCTGGATTTTGTCGCTCACAGGAATATCTAGACCACTCCAAAGAGGTGAAACCCGACACAAAGCAAATTATGCGGCGAACTAATCGGTTTGAAGAGAACGAGGCTGTGCAAAAGAAATTAGACGCATTAGCTGAGTTTCAGCTCATTGACATAGCCATGCATTATCCTGTTGAAAAGCTGATTCCATTCTCTTTTCCAGACTCACGTCAAGCAGCAAATCAAGGGAAATTGGTTACGAAATTTGAGGAAGAGCAGCGATTATCACCAGAACAAATTTTAACGTTATTGTTGGGCGATCCATTGGCCAAGAAATATCTCAAACTCTTCATGACGCAACGTGGTAGCGAAGCATTGCTTGCATTTTGCGAAGAAGTGGAAGATTTTAAACTCCTGCCAGGGATCGAGTTTCTTCAACATTCTGCCAAGAAAATCTACCGAAAATACATCATTCCGAGCGCTCGCTTGCAAGTGGATATGAGTACAACCATGCGCGATGAAATTTATACGCGACTGGCGAATCCGAGCGTAGACATGTTTAAGAAGATTGCAAATCGTGTTCGCCATGGTATGCTGCAAGACTCCCTACCGCGATTTGTTAAATCTTCATATTATAAAGAATTACGTCGGGACAGCAAATTTACTGCAGCAGATACCCATCTTGCGGTAGTCGATCAAGCAGCAAAGGCCGGCAAGCTTGAATTGTGTCATTTGGACGTGTTTTTAAGCTATCCTGGATGTATGCAAGCTTTTCGCAAATTCTTGGATTTTCAACATTGTTCGGAAAATCTGATGCTGTGGGAGGAAATTGAACATTATCGACGATTACCAAGTTATCAGATTGTTCTGCGTTCAGCCAGAAAGATTTATGACAAATATTTGAATCCATCGAATCCACGCACTCAGATTCCACTTGCTGTTACTCTATGCCAACGTGTGGAGGCTCAGCTGGACGTAGCGTGTCGTACAACGTTCGATGAGGCTGAAAATGAATGTTACGACCACATGCGCAGCGTTGTAGTTCCAGACTTTTTGGATTCTCGTATCTTTATGGCTTTAGTTGGGGCGTGGGCTATTGTTCACGAGGATTATCCAGGTGAAATGCTTCGAGGAGAATTAGAAATGGCATTTCTTCGCCATCGTTTCCATCTTGTTCAAGAAGCCCGTGGAATGTCACGTGAGACCACACTTGACAAGGGCGCATGATTGCTGCACCAGGTCTTAGTTATAGTAGTAGTGGCACGCCTCATGGTCTAGACATTAAAACGAATAACGTACAATGTTATTGCTCGCGTCATAACTTTGATATCATGGTACACACTGTAAAGTTTAAATTATACTCGTCTTGCTCAATGTGTGAATATTACAATTGCCCCATTCCAAACCAGTAAAGTCATCCTTGTAATATGTTACTCCGCATATGCAAAGAGCTCTTGGAGTGCCGATTGCTGCGAACTTGAGAGTGAATTCCATGTATAACTCATCATCATCTCTGGCACTGATGCGCGAAGACTTTTAAGACTTGATGCAAGTTGCTGACGTAGGGCCAACACCTCTTTTTCACCGACACTTTTGCCCATTTTGCGTAAAAACTTTGCGTCAGTCACAGCAGCCAGCACAGCAACTACTTTACCTAAATGCTGATAGTCTGGTGCTCCTAGTACAAGTGGATGTCGATCATCGATGTAGCCACAGAGACGACGCAAGACAGCAAGCGATTCTTCTAAGTCTCCACGTAAGGGAAGTAGACTTAACCACTGCGGAAATAGCGTAGCTGCATCCACGACAGCTGACTGAAATTCGCACAGTTTGCCAAGTGCAGCCACAGCATTGTCAGTTGCATTTCGGTGCTCGGAATTGTAGGCATGAGGCTGTGTCACGACGTTGTGAAGTAATTGAAGACACTGCTTGGCGTGTGGCGCGAACGCATCCCCACCTTGAGACGCACATACGCCGACACCAAACGCTGCGGCCTGTATTAAACCAGGCTCATGGACCTCACGCAAAGCACTCATAAAAATAGGCAGAAAGATATCGAGACGATGCAAAGCAGCGTCACCACAGTGCTCTAAAACATCATCCACGACAAAGAGCGCAAGCTGTCGGTCTTCTATCAAACACCCAGGAGCCGCTAGAGCGGTTACTTTGTCCCACAACAGCGTCATAAATACAGGGAAGAAGTCAGCACCATGAGTCTTGGCGAGTACTCCGATGCATTCGGCCAACACAAAATGTAGCTCAGTCTCAGTCGCTTGAGTCTCAGTTGACTGCGACGCAGCATCATCTTCGTCTTCGTCCTCGTCAGCCTCCATGACATCGGTGCCAGCGCCACTTCTCCGCAATGCGCGACGTTGAAAGCTATCACCTAAAACCACTAGCAATCCAAGTACTAGCTCACGTAGCTGTGCTTCATTAAGCTTCAGCTTTGGGTGCGGTTGGCACGCTTCATTGAGACAATTAATCATACTCTGCATAATACTCACGACTAATTCCACATCCGGCTCAGATGTCAGCGCATTGACGAGACGACCGAGAGCGAAATCCACCATTTGCTTGATTGTAGCTTGACTGTTTTCCGATGGACCAGGCGCGGCAGCAGTTGAGATCGCGACACATTTTACAAGTGCCGGCATTGCACGAATTGCAGAGGCTCGGATATCTGAGTGTACAGACTCGGTCAACAGCGGCGCCAATACTTGTGTAACCTGTTCGGCATACGGAAAGAACGCATCCTCCAGATCTATCACCATACCAGCTAAAAGTTGGCAAGCTGTAGCTTTTTCCTCCAATATAGATGTACGGATACTCAGACACTTATCATTCACCTGTGCAAGCTGAATGTCTTCACTATCGGTAGAGGCGTCATCCTCGTCATCACTAGACAGCGTCGACGGATCCACTTCAAATTCAGCCTGTTGCATGGCAGCCTCGAGCAGCGTCGGCATGACAAGGGGTAGATACGGAGCAAAATCGTGACGAAGGCATGTGCAGCAGCGAGCCCATGCTTGAAGCAGATACGTTCGAATTAACTCGTTGCCGACAATAAATGGCGTGGCCTGCATTTCCGCCATCATTTTAAGAATCGCAGCAGCATCGCGAGAAAACACTTGCTTGCCTACGGCCTGGCCAATTAGACTCAAACATTCAAGCGTAATTCCACCTAGCGTAAATGAGCTGGGCGCGTTTGATTGTGACTTGAGCAAGCCTTGCGATGCAGCCGCCGCCGTCACACACTCATGCAGACAGGTGCGCAATATCTGCTGCAGCGGAGGCAACACAGCAGCATAATAAGTAGCAAACGACGCACCAGCTACTGTGGCCACGGATGAGATTGCTGTAATTGCCTGTTCCTGGACTATGCGCGCGGCAATGAATGCCTGAGTAGATACTTGATTGGCCGTCGGGGCTAACAATTGCCCGTTTTGTAGTAAAGCAAAAAGTTGATGTAATATTTTATCAAGGTACGGAGTCAGAAGTTCAGATGGACACATGTCAATGAATTGGCGTAAGGATGTTGCAGCATGGGCCTGAAGACGTGGCTTGTTAAAATCTTCGAGGTAATGAGCCAGTACAGTAAGTGCCTGTAAGTGATACGCTTGCTGAAACCGCGGGGCTTGGTCGACAGAAAGCTGGCCGATAACATCTACGGCGGTGCAACACACACGGGGATGTGAATCATTGGTCTGAGCAAATAAGTGACGCACAGTGGCGTCCAAATTTTCATCATCTAGCACGTCCAAAATCTGGCAAAGACCCACCAAGGCGGCGTGTCGGTTCACCCAATTTTCTGACTGTGCATACTTTTGAATCAATGCAAAGCATGTTGGCAGCGACCGCTTAGCACCAATTGCGCCAACAAGCCGTTCAAGAGCCTCCGACCCCACATCAAAATTCGAAATCTCATGATCAATTGTTTGACTGCCAACTGAGTGTTCGTCTGCACAAAACGCAACATCCCACGCATCTAAATCTTGCAAATCTAACATCATTTTAAAAGCCACAGGATAGACTAGCTGTACAAACATATTTTTTGGTAAATGTCGACATAGCGACGGGGCTTGTTCAGCCAGTGATACTAGAAACTCCATAGCCAATTGTCGGCATCCATCTGACATAACATTTACATCGCTCTTGTCATGCGGGACATCAGCGATCTGAACCATTGTCTCAACAAACTCGCGTAAACACGGCTTAAATATGGTCGCATGGGGCTCAGCTACCTCAATTAAGATTTCAAGAGCCTCCATGACGTCATCAAACTGTCTTGTAATCAATAGTGAGTGGAGCGTAGCAAGCACAAGCGGTACTGTGCTTGTCAAGAGCTCTGGTTGTGGTACCTGATCCAAAGCATCCAAGCTCAAAAGTAACATGCCAAATGCACGCAATGAGTTAAGAGCCACGCGACCTTCTCGATCCGTTAAGCCTTTAGCCAAGGTTTGCAAGATTGTAATATCCAATCTCGTATTCTCTGACTGCGTGACGTCAATCCGTGTAATTTGACTGGCTAAGAAAATAGCAACCATCTCCATCACTCGTAGCGCAGTTTCACGTAGTATAACCATAGAAGCATCACTCCACTGAAGCAATTTTGGCAGTAAATCGTCCCACTGACCGTCCTCAAGGATGCTGCCAGCTAGTTCGCCTACTATGTCACAAACCTTGCGCCGAATGCCACGATTTCTCTCACCAGCCTCGAGTACAGCCAAAAGTTCGCACTTGATTGTAACTCGAGCCAAATCTGTGGCTCGTGGCCAAAGCGAGACGGCGTCGCGTAGCAGCACCCGACGGAGGAGAACGGCGGCAAGCGCACGTACGTCGTCAGCGCTGGTCGAGTGCACGACATGCACTAGACCCAGCAATAGATCGTCACTACATGGAGATTGTTTAAGCGCTGCAAATTGCACTTCAGCAGCATTGCGCTTGTCATTGTCCTTTGCCAGCAGGCTCCACAGTAAGGTCTCCCATGAAGAATTCTGCATTTAGTAAAGACCTGCCGTTTGTGAAATAGAACAGCAGATTAATGCTAGATTGATGAATGGCCGCGGTTAAGTGGTTAATATCTAAATTATGAAGTATCTTTGTAGCTTTAAGGTAATATATGGTAGTTAAAACTAACATTTATAGTGTATTATTACTGGTGTTAGCTGCTGGGTAGAGTGTTAAGATTACATTTTAAATGACAGAAATATTTGTATTTTTATTGTACGTAATATTTGGATAAAACATGTGCAAAGTGGTGAAGGTAACCCCCCCATACACGCTGGCGAGGGATGGACTACAAGTGCTATAGGTTACTAGATCGCCAAAGTATAGAAGTGGTTCATTCATCTCAACGAATTTAGTTGTTTATGATATGGAAATCTTCTATTAAGCTAATGGTGTTAAGAGGCACGATGCGTTTGACCACACAAACTTGCAGTTATACGCGACGTTCAAAGATCACTCAGTGCCAGTATGCTCAACCCCAAGGAAGGCATAATATGCACTAGTATAAAGGAAAAAACTTTATTTTTGAAAATATGAACGAGGCTAACCGTTGGCTCAGCTGTAAGCACGGGCGGGTGGAGCTAAGTATCTTTTGCTCTGCTCAGGGTGGACGCACAAAAATCTGGGCGTACACGCGTGAGCTCATGTCGCCTGAACAATTTTACATATAAGCCACATCTCTTTGAGGAGTTACATAGCGCATTCTCATTTGCTTTACCACCATGGATGCAATGCCATAGAGACTGAGCAGCACTTGTTCTCCGACTGCACCCTCGCATATTTGCTCCATGGCATTAAACAGAGAAGGTGATATCTGATGGGTTTATGCTCATGAGAAATGCGTGACAATGGTGCCTATGTTAGGTATCCAACCTGTGCTCGAAAAAAGGCGATTTACATGGACAAGTCCTACCTCTTATCAGGTGAGGTTCAAAAGGCATACATCAGGAGATAAAGTCATACACAGGCTTGTACATCATCTATGGAGTGAACGAGACATGCCACACCAATGTCAATACACCTAAGATGGCCGGGCAGGACCTTATTAGCTTTGCCGTGAAAACGCCCATTCAAGCTTACGGGGCTTGATTAATTCATAACGAAGGTTTTGAGTCATCTGGCAAATAATCACTAGGAATTACGGCTCGTGTGTTGGTATTTGATCGAATACAAAAGCATCGACGATCGCGACGAAACTACTGTGTTAGAAGGCTAGGGCTTGAAGGCCTAGCTGTAATATTTGGAGCCTTCAACATCTCGGCCGGAGAGATAGACAAGTACCACTGAATCGTAGGTATGCCGTTACATTAAAAACACGAGTCTTGGATCGATCAGCGCGGCAAGACCGTTGACGCCAAGTGGCTTTTAATCCCGTCTCTCATTGACGTGCGGTGACGATTCGCGGGTTGGCAAGGTTTCAGAGCACTAGAAGTATTCATAGTTGGTCTTGCAAATATTACTGATCCTGACGTTGTTGCTCCGCGAGCGAGAAGCATGGCTATACTCAAAGAAGATCTCCTGAAAAGATCATAAATAATGGGCGAGGAATGCTGCATGCTTACCCTGGACCGATACGCCGACTATAAGCGATAACGAGGGTGCAGTAGCTACTCTGGTATAGCTTAAAAAGTCGTGGGTTATAGCCTGCCACGATACTTAACGCCTACTATAGCTATTGACTGCCGCAGAAGACACTCTCTACGTGGAGGATATGGTCCCTCACTATGACGTGGGCAAAGTGTATTACACTTGAGCAAGAAGATCGATGACCTGTCTTATGGTTCCTTTTAGACCACATCACGTTGAAACCAATTGTCAAACAGCTAGGAATCTATGAAGTCAACCTTCCACAAGGAGTTGGTCGAGCGGTGTAATTGCATCTTAAACAAAGAGTCCGTGAAGGACCGTGACAGTGTAAAAGTGTTAATTTTAACGATCGGGATGAGTGTTCCCAAATAAATAAATAAATAAGTTCGGTGAACTGGAGCCCGCATACGTGATGCCCAAGCACCCATCGTCTCATTTTCTATAATGGCGACGATCTAGAGACGATGTGAAGTACTCTAGTATACATATCCTCGCGAGCACTGGAGGGGTCTTTGCCGGATGCGGATGCCAGGTTTCGTACAGTGATTTATTCTCCTGATCGTCTACTACTTTCTGCGCTTAAAAGCTATATCGGTGCAGTCTCGACAGCAAGATCAAAGAAGAACTTTAAACACAGACAACGGACCTGATTTCGTTGCCGAAATAGGGGTGTCTGATGGTAGATCACGGCCTGGAATGGCAAGGAACAGTAATCTTTTCTTTTACCGAAACTAAACGCGCTAACGACAATGTATCTGGAGGAGACCATGTATTCACAAATTACATTCAATAAAACTGATCTGTTTCTGCGTGTGATGATAGCAAATCTGGCGAAGAATGCAGTGATGATCTTGCTTCAGATTTGAAATGTCAACGCGCCGATGATGAGATCAACTTTACATCGGCAGCGGGTATATTTTTACGCAGTTATCGCGGAACTATGGAATTGTTAGGTGGTGGACAGCGGATATGAGCTATCATAAGCTACGAGTGCATATTAGGATCACGCATGGGGCTGGATTGAGATAGCATCTAGGAGTTTGAGATATAATCATGAAGCGGTAATTGTCATAATTGGGATGCGAACGCCACAGAGCTCGACTTGTATATCTGGCGTGTCTGCTGCGGTTGCCTCTTGTACTTTGTAAAGCTGCACGATATCGATGCAGCATTTTTACGATAAAGATGTAGGTGGCGTACATGGTACGTGTCAATGCCATTTAAGGCGAATGCTTCCAGTGATTTGGTGTGTATGCTGCGTAGGGGTGCTATGGACTAAAAAACCCGACAGCCTTTTGGTATTGTACGATTCATATGTACTTTGCAGATAGGAAAAGTTACTGATACTTCCCGGTTAGTGATGCGATTTGTCTTGAATGTGACTTTGCATTATTTTTGAAAGTTATGGAATCGAACAAGAGAGTGAGAAATTAATTATTGAATAGAAAACCACTTCTATTTTTATGAATTAGCGACGGAAGCACGCCGCGCATGAGTCTTGAAATCAAGCTTAACAACATGGTCAAGCGAAGTCAATGAGCGTTGGTTTCTCGGCTGCAATCTATTTGCTGTATTCTATAGCAGCAAAAGGCGCGCCCGTCGTTCAAACTTAGAGATCTTTCCCTGGGATAATTGATTGTTGTGTATAACTTGTGGATGCACTTAACGCAACCTTGTATTCTTCGATTGGTAATACGTCGAGAATCTACGCTTCTCCATGGGCGGATTTCATGACCGCCCAGTTCAAGTCATTTGTCGTGATAGGTGCATCGATCAGGCACTGTAACATGCATCAGCTTAGCCGCTGTCTGTACTAGCATTCGAGCTAAGCAAAAATGATAGAATCAAACATTCATAAGTATTAAAATCACGGAATGTTGTCCCGAGAGTCGATTCCGAGTACAGGGTGTCTTTCACATCGATTCAGCAGGGTCGACAGTCGCAGACCTATCGCCACGATAGAATACGGTGATGAGATCTGGCCAATCTTGTTGTGGTAGCCAAAGAGCGCTTGTTGCAAAAATTTGGTCATTGCGTTCCTTTCTTCAATCGTATTTTCGTCGCGCTGGGATTGGTTTGTGCTTGATGTTATAACACTTTGTTGCATTATTCGAATACTAGTTGAAGAAATCGATGACTTCTTTGACTGCAACAATTCTTGTAGTCATTACACGCGCATTTGCTTGCTCAAATTCAATTCAGCGTATCTGGAGACAAAGGCAGTAGGCTTCTTGGTATTATCGAGAAGACAACCTCGTTTAGCACTATCAAAAGACAATATATACACCGATAGCCGCTCAGCTGACGAAATCATGCGGAAGCGGATTCGCGCAATTATCCACGATGTAGAGTTTTTACTGACGAACTCGTGCGCTGGTGACAGAAAAATAATATATATGACGCCAAAAAGTTACCTCATCATCTGCTTTTCTATCCAAATTGGGCCCTCTTCGCGAAACACCCACTTCAACCTTGATGACGTCTGGATTCCGATCGAGTCAATGGGAATGTTGCCGCGGCGTGCGTCTCATTTTTTTTATAAATTTTGCTTGTTGCCTAAATTCTACATGTGTTCGGTCTTTGTCATGCCATTTTTGATCTTTGACCTGGTTTATCATAGCGAAATGTTCTATCAAATGTTTATTGTGCGTTAAATTTGTGAAATAGTTTGTGCCATGATGTACAAAACGGTATCTGCCGATCAAGCCCAAAGCTCCAGGCCAAACGCACAATTCTTCTTTGCCTATAATCGGGTAGTTGGAATGTTGAGACTTGATCCAAAATAGAGTCGAATATGCCGTTGAGGTCACCCACGACTATGTGCGCAGCCTTGTCATCGTCATCGGAGCTGATTAGACTGGTGTGAGTGCGGATGGCGCCAATAAGTCACCAAGTATTTGGTTTCTATCAGTATGTATGTACACCACTTGGTTGCATTGCATGAACTTGAGTAATCAAACACGGTTGCAGGATTGGATTGGGTATATTTGACAAGTAAGATTCTCAACTACGATTTTATGATTGTATTGTGTATACTTGACCAGTAAGATCCTCAACTTGCCAGAACGTACATCACATGGCCTATGCTAAATCTCTCGTTAAAACTTGAAGATGTTGTGTTAGACCAAAAGCAGCGCGCACTTGAGTTAGATAGATAAGTGAGGTATTCACTTTTCTATAGTTAGTCTCCTTTGTTGAGCTTTGCGTCCTAAAACATGGCGAGTTAGTGTTGGTAGAGAAGTCACTGATACGCATCGAGTTTGTCTAATGCTAACCCGTTTACGTTAAGCACGACTTCATTGAAGGCCCAAGGCTTTCTAGATGTGACAATTCACCAAACTAAAGTGCATTTCTGCCATTGCTTTGGACAACAAACTAGTTGCTAAGTCATTTAGCGCATCGACTATGCGGCGAACGCCTTCACCGCGTATGTTCAATTAAAACATAGTTTCGGTCAGACGAGGAAAGGCGGAGCCGTTTGAAGATAATAATGGCCTGAGTAGTGCTTGAATTTTTACTGAATCGTTGTCAGAATCAAGTCACGGATGGTGCTATGTAGAGCGACGGCTTGAGTTGGAGACATAGCCTCGAAGAAGTGCGCAGCATCAATAGAGTCTATGTCATAGCGTTTCTGCAAACCTTCTTGAGATCTCGAAGATCCGTTGGCCGCCACTGACTCCGCGCTGACTTCGCGATGCTGTATATGACTTCGAACAGATGCTTTTGGCGGATTGGTGGAAGCTGAAATAGTTAAAAAATATCCTGGCTGCGCTTGGATAGCTGCCAGTGTGTCTTTGCTTGATAAATACGTCGATGGCATCTTGATGTTTTCCACCGAAGGCTGTTTCACTGAAATAGCAAGGACACGTTCAATTTTCAGTGATGAAATCTTCCTTCACATACGGTAGAAGGTCAGACAAGGCAGTAAACCCGGATAGTGCAGTGATCAGTTATCGTCACTCCAGTATTGTTCGCCGGCTTCTCGATCACGATCAGGTTAAAGCGTCAAACAGAAGCCCATATCCCAAAGAACGTTGCAACAAACTGGCGACACTAGACGAACGAGAAGGAGTCTTCAACTTCGCATTCATACTCACAGAGAACAAGGTCTGTTGGCTTGATGTACTTACCGCAATCCCAACTGGTGGTTTCATATCGCTTGCGTTGGATCTATTTCTGTTTCGGTACACCTTCTGGTACAACGGCATCAACGATCATGCGCTTTACCTTAGCTTCGATATTAGCAGAGACACGACTGTCGCGTAGAGCCCAAACATATGAATATCGGGATCAGTTGTTAACGAGTCTTCGCTTCCGGCTTGTTTAAGTGTTGTCTCGTGTAGGCAAAGTTTGCACTGTATTTGTGCAAATAGCTGAACTAACGAAACCGCTTTTTGCTTTTTAAGTCCTCATAAGACAGAGGCACTGACCATCTATAATCAACATATTCTTTGCGGGATCTATCCGCCGACCTTACTTTGTAATGAAGCAACACAGAAGCCAAACTTGTAGGAGCCATACATCTCTCTTAGATCTATTAGCGACCATCTTATTGACGTGACAAAAGCAACTCACAAGTGTTTAATGAGGATCTCCACATCTGACTCCCTGGCTCTGCACGATCATGATCAAATACCTTAAAAAATAGTTATGTGCATAGCCATATCAAGCATCTGCATTGACAGACAATTAAGCGATCAGAGTGCTCACCACAGTGAGGAGGATATCACTGTCTGCCACAAGCAGTTGATAATATCAATTAACCAGGAACAGGCACTAAACGAAGTGCAGTCGACCATGCTGTTCAGCAGTTCATCATTTTCAAAATCAGCGTGTGCACCGAAATTTTGGCTGCATCTGACTTAACATTAGCATGCACAACTCGCGAATTACTGTGAGCACGACCAATACCACAGAAAGTCAATGCCATGCTGAAAATTCGATATGTTAACCCATCATCACTTCTTGTTACCGGTCCATTATCAAATGTTTGTAAGTGTTCTCAGCTTTTCCCTACGCACTGGGCACATCCAAGTTCATTGCCATCAGCAAAATCATCGTCAGTCATATCTAAGAGACCTACAATTTTAGAAGGCTATCACCAGGCTTTTGAAAAATGATACCAATACAAATAAAATTTTGTTGATCTATGTACTTGTTCCATACATTTTTTGCATTATTGTCACAACTACTGTACGATCGTACAGAGTAATACTGCGCTTTGTTGCTATTGGAATATTTATGAGTATTGAAGTATCTGTTTTTTGAAGATGATAATGGGGACCCGTGAAGAGATATTGGCGGTACACGGGGGCTGCTAGCCGCACGTCAAGTAATTCGATCCTTCTATTTTGAGATATTGTGTGACGTATTAATTGGTAATTAGTAGAAAGTAAGGGTAAATCCTGTTTTATACCTTACGCTTGAATTGGCTAGAAGCTCTTGGTTTCGCATCTTTTTGGAGCGATCCTCAATGCATTTGTTAGCGCGGACTCTTCAAGTCTAAGCTTTATTTGTGCCAGTGCACGGCAAGACAGTGGAATTGCTGTGTGGAGCAATATCTATTTTTTGGAGCAACGCAATGTAATGAAACTCTTTCCTACCCGGTGTATACACGTTGCGGACCTCAAATCACCACGTTGTGAGATTTTGACATCGAAACAAGAAGTACATAAAAGCATTGAAAAAAGGTGTTCGACTCAGCGCACTCGGTGAATTCCAGGTTCAAAGACAGATTCATCCATGACGGATGAAGAGCCTAGCCTTTTCGCTGAATATATGTTTCTCTTATCTTCAGGACCTGGACCTTCGCATCGCAACTAGCATTCGCCCTCAACCCACCGACACCTGCAAAGAAGACTGCGACACCGATTCAATCTCCTCTCTACTGGTCATGTCATATAAGACCTGGCTTACAACTGTTTTTTGCCGTCTCACCCAAAATATACTTTTGGGGCCGCTACATAGAGTTGTTGCTATTTGTCTTACCTGAGGCTACTCTGCGGTCCACGATAACCTATCACTATTCTTTATTAGACCATGCACTACTGCCCCTGCTTCCTATCGAGCTGTGTTCGAGGCACTTAATTGCCAGACAGCTCGGACATTCCAATGTTCTGCACAAAAGCCATCCCAGCTTCATACCCTCACCCGTAGCGCATCTGCAGAGCTGATTTGTGACTCGCCAAACCTCCGTCAGGAGCGTAATGAGTGAAAATGATATATCAACTTCCAGTTGATCCATCAATTTTGCAGATCTAGCCATGTCATACCTTGGACTTAAACTTATCTCGAATCCACGTCCAGGAGGTAGGAGAGGGTTCAGAGATGTTCTTATGAACGTGAAGCTTTGCCATCAATGTCTTCAAATGTCACTGAAGGCCCAAGCTATTTTCAACACTTGCATCGTTGTCTCGGTTGCGAGCCGGCCGAATACTGTTTCCGTGATCGGCATCTTTAGAACTTCCGCGTTCTGTTGTTTTTGACAGTCAGACGTTGTACGTAATTACTCGGAGCTTTTCGTCTAACCCGACTCGTCACGCCTGCATAGCCAAGGATATTGATATTAAAAGCCTATAACCTTCAACGGTGAGCCTCACTTTACTTGGAGAAAGTCGCCCCCTTAAAGAATACGTGCTACTGATAACAACTTCCATTAGGTACAATAAAATTCATTTCTTTCCCAGTTGGCCACATTGCGCCTACGGGAATTCGATGTTTGGTTCGACGAATGACCATTCATGGAAACCCCGACCGTATGTATCTCGTTTGCTCTTGAAAACTTGTGAGTACGGCGATGCTCAACAGCAAAAAATCTCTATCTCTCCTCAGCATGGTTGTGGCGTATCTCTTCTGGTACGCTCATAGAGCTTCCACTTTAGGTAATGTATCCGACCCCCGCGGCACAAATTTACACTCCACGCTCAATGCGAGATCCACCGTTTTCTTGAAAGAGGTAGTGTGGATGCCGACAGTTTCAGTTGGATTCGCACGCTTTCATTCCACATAGATGATAACTATTCTCACCACCCGTTGAGGATTGAGCGCTTTTGTTGAGCTCGGAAAAATTGACTCCTGCGCATGGATCGCTAAATCTTGCCTCATTTGACAAATGAACAGGAACTTTAAACAAACGATAAAACTTTGAAGAGATCGTGACGTGTGGGGACCCCTTTCACATACTGCACGCATGTGCGCGCTCTGTATATTGCGGTCTTTAAAGCTCGAAGACCCCAAGCGTGACGCGCTGTTGATCCATTTGGAGCATAACCAAATTCACGGTCACTTCAACTCCCCCGTCCAGACAGTGGGAATTTAATCGTTACAGCTTTCAAAAAGTTGATTTATCAGAATCAAGGGTGTCATGTTTTGCATCATCTATGCTCCCACTGATATCCGGCGGATGCACTCTTGGAGGTGCCACACTACGCAAATTTGCGTTGCTGGTGAGCGCCTCCAGGCGAGTGAAAACCGCAACTAGCCCTCAAGCCGCCACTTTCTAGACCCCATTGGAACCAAAAATAGACATATCTTTCCAAGCGTGTCTAGTTGTCTTGGAGACAATACTCGAACATCCCATGTTCAAATTTCGGTGAAAATACAGATCTTTTCCGACTTTGTCGTGAAATCGACTACAAATACTACCAAGTGTAATGACTTACTGTGCACTTTGCACAAAAGAAGCTTTGACGCAAACAGTCCGTGTTCAATAGACACACTAGAACTAGGTTCGTACGCTCCAACTAGACGCGGACTTAAGAGCTTCTCGGACATTTCCATCTTTATGAATACCAGTACTTAATTTTTGGAAAGTGCAATTTGAGTATGAATGCAATTATTCTTGCAGAATCGTGCCACAGGAATAGCTCAGAAGTTATAAGTGTTTGAGTTGCTTGTACAAAGTAGTATCAAACTTGCCAGTTCATCCATCTCATCGTTAACAGGACTAAAGTTTTGAGTCGGCCGAATTATGACTCTTCCCAAAAGGATTTGAAAAGTTAACGAATACAAATGAGGCGAATATTGTCAAAATACGCAGCATCCAATCTTTCGGTAATTGTATTTGTTTGTGATATCTTCTGTCCCTTAATGAATCTCTAATCTATCACTTACAGCAACCAGTGATCGATATTTAAGCCTAATGCAATTATTTTTTTGTGAGATACGAGATGAAAATTTGCGCTCCTAATAGTCATCGCTCGCATCGCTATTCGGATTTTAAATCTACATAGCTGTCGAATATTTGGCTTTTAAGAAGTAAACACTGCAGATAAATCGTCTCATAGGCATTTAACAGAAGTGTAAGGCCCAATTCTCCAGCTTTCATCCAGCTTTCCAAAATCAGAGCCAAATACATTCAAAAATACACCTCCAATCTATTGTAAGTAACATTATTTTAATAATTCATTATACAAACCAATTCATTTGATAGACACGAAATATGTCACTTCCACTGACATCCCTGCCTCCGATCACAGAAGAGATCAACGCGAACACCGACATCGCTGATACAAATCGAGGCAAGTCTGCATTAGCTCAAGATAGAGCCCTGGCCACAATGTTCCTGAACTTTTGTTCTGAATCCGATGGCTTCGAAGCGATTACTGATCTGAGCGATTTGTCTGACCAAGACGACAAGACGCTGAAGACAATATTCGGAAGTTTGCAACACATATGATGCTGAAATTAAAGAAATCGGGCTCTCCTTCGCTGCAAACGGCAATGAACTACCTTAGCTGTTTAAAGGGTATTTTGTCAGAATATGCGAGACCGAATTATTTAATGACCTGCATTGGTACCAGGTAAAAGTGCGTCAGAACATGACTTCAAAATACATTCCCAGAAAGAAGGCATCACGTTACAAAACACAGCGGACGATATCACTGACGAGATATTGCGCCTGCTCTGTGAGAAAATGCTGGATTCCAATTCCTGGATCGGAATGAAAAACCGAGCTCTACAAATTGTTCTTTGGCATCTACTTGGCCGAATCAATGAGGTGGCACAGCTGAGATCGGTGAGGCTGAAATTTGATCCGCTGAATGGCGCGGTGATGGTGAATCTGCTGCGCACCAAAGGCAACAAATCCGGCCGCGAAAGCCTTAAAGCATTATTGGGCATCGTGAACGTTATCAGCATTGCGTGTTGGATGCATTGGCTAGCATGATGCTGACTGCGCAACTGCGAGACGACAACTACCTGTTTTCGCGCGTCCCCAAGGATCAACAGATTGCCCAATATGTGAATCAGATGCTCAAAGTTCATGCAGAAGGCCTTGATGGTATGTTTACGTCACATTTGAATCGACATGGATCAACTACGCATGCCAATTCGCACCCCGACGTAAGTGTGAACTGGATCATTTCAAGAGGGGACTGGGTGCTGGATAGCATCTCTACAATGTTTGAATACGTGACTGGCG